AATTCGGCTAAGCCTTATAGTCACCAGAAGGCTCAAAGCTTTAAGCCTTAAAGCTTTGAGGGTGGCTTAGGTTGCGACAGTACTTTTCGGCAATCGGGTTTGAGGCGCTGCTTTGGCCAGGGGAAGGTTTAAGCTGTGGCACTTTTTAGTATTGGCCTGCCCAGCCAGTGGGTCGTCGGCCCTGCGAAACGAACACCTGAGGAGCGACAAGCTGAGGAGGGATCTTGTGTAAGTAACCTTGCTGGCTCACGGTTTAATAGGCCCTCGAACACAAGGGCTTCAAAAATTGAAGTGAACATGCAAAGCCAGCCTCCGCGCCCTCTTTGTGCAGCACAGGCACGTGGGCACTGCGATGCCCCTTGGGACGCACGTCGGGGACCCCCTTGCTCAGCCTTGCTCTGGTTTCAAGGGAGGCCCCTTAGATAAACCCTCACAACACTCCCTCGGACACTGCTTCCCCCTGAACCGTAAATCCTGAACCCTCAAGAACCTCCCTAAACCTAAGCCACAAACCCCTGACACCCCTCACAGCCCGCAAAACACCTGCTCAACCCAAAACCCCTAACCCTGGACCCTCAACATCCCTCAACCCTAAACCCTAAACCCTAACCCGTAAGCCCCCCAAGGCTCCTCGTGCTGCTGGAGTCCCCAGCCTTGGACCTCCATCGCCGGGACCTGGAGGGCCGGACGCCGCTACACCTGGACGCTCAGCAGAGTTTGCCTCTTTTGTCGTGCTTTTGTGGGTTTTTAGGGTTCTTAGGGTTTTGGGGTTGTGGGGTTTTGGGGTTTTGGGGTTTGGGGCTTTGGGGTTATGGGGTTGCGGGGTTTTGGGGTTTGGGTGTAATGTTTGGGAGGGTTGGGGGGCCCTGCCTGCTTAGAGGAACACACATCGCGGGCATAGAGGGCTTGCATCGAACCCACATCGCCAGCGCAACACCTTTCGTGGAGGCTTCCACGACATGCAACAAACAAAGTTTACGTTTTGTCTCTTTTGTTCTCAGGAGCTTGGCCACGGCACCGTAATTAATTGCATCTTGTCGCATGAGCAGACACGTAAGTTTCTCAACCCCCCCCCCCCCTCTTCCCCTTCCCTGAGAAAAGAATCAGAGCTGGAAGCTACATGCAGCCCAAACGAAGCTCGGAAATGAACAGGAGAGCAGCCCCAGAAACCAAGTCCTTGCCATAGGCGGTGCTCCACCACCACGGCGATGCTGCCGAGCTGCTCTTGGACGCAGGCGCGAGACCATCAAGGGTCATGGTATGCGAGCCCAAAGAGGCACCTGCTGCACATGGTAGACTGGATTGGCTCAATCGAAGGAAGCGATCTTCGATATGGGAGACTGCCCACCCCTAGAAACTCTCGTGTCGCAGCTCTGCCCACAACGGGCCTGTGCTCCACTAGCAAAGGCGCCGATCCCAGCTTGACGGACTTTGCAGGCGGTCCGTTTGGATCAGGGTCCTGCAGAGGACTTCGCGTTTCGGAGTCATGGGGTTCGGAGGGCCTGATGACTTGTGTTGCTCAGACATGCCTAATTAGACCTGATAAACCTTAGAATGCCTACAAGCCCTAAAGCATCGAAAAAACGTCGAAACCCTGGAGCCAAGTATGCTGATCTCTTTGGGATCAAGGCCTTGGGACTTCCGGCTTTTGATGCTAACTGGCTTTTCGGGCGCTTGAGGCAGGAGCGGGCTCAACAGGCCTAACAGACTAGCTCTGTTGGCTGAGAGCTTACGGTGCCAAGATATGTGTATGGGCTGAAGGTTACTCCCAAACTTTTTTCAGGACCGACATCCTACACCCCCGAAGCCCGCGACCAAAGCATTCCAAGACTATTCCAAGCCTCCAATGTCTAACGCAACACTTCTGGTAGAACCCTGAACCCTCAGCCCTAAACCTAAACCCCCCAGTACCGTTTGAGCCCGCGAGCATCCCTCTGCCTCTCCCCCCCCCACCCCCGAAAAAAAAAAACAAAGCAAAACAATGGGAAGAAGCTTCCAGTCAGATCCCACCCAAAATCCACGAACAAAACAGAACCCAAAAACGCTCGAAGCCCTCAAGAACCCTGGCAATGAACCAAGCCTTAAAGACTGCGAGCCCTGTGAGCCTGCATGAACCCTATGGGCCCTGAACGATGAACCCTATGAGGTCTCGTAAGCCGTATGCCAACCCTACACCCTAAGCCCTAAACCCTAAGCCCGGAACCCCAAGCCCTAAACCCCAAACCCAAAACCCCCTAACCCCAAACCCTCAACCCTAAACCCCTGACCCCTAATCCCTAAGCCCTAAACCCTAAACCCCAAACCCTAAACCCGAAACCCTAAACCCTAAACCCTAAACCCTAGAAGCCCAAAGACCTGCAGGCCGCGCGGTCGACTCCGACGGCTCCCTGACTCGCCTCCTGGAGGTTCGGCTCGACCCAGGGTCCCCTCCCCTCTCTGGGAATTCGGGGTTTTGGGGTTTAGGGTTTGGGGTTTAGGGGTTTTAGGGTTTAGGGTTTGGGGTTTAGGGGTTTCGGTGTTTGGGGTTTAGGGTTTGGGGTTTAGGGTTTAGGGTTTAGGGTTTGGGGTTTAGGGTTTGGGGTTTAGGGTTTCGGGGTTTAGGGTTCAGGGTTTGGGGTTTAGGGTTTAGGGTTTGCTGTTCGATGTTTAGGGTTTTTGTTACGGTTTGAGGCTTTTGCGCAGTCTGAAAAGAAAAGGAGACAGCGTGGGGGGGTTTCAGAACTGCAACGGCCACGGCCGGGCAACACCGAACAAGACGGAAACCTCCGGAAACCCTAAACCCTAAACCCCCCTAACCCCTAAACCCCTAAACCCCTAAACCCCTAAACCCCTAAACCCCTAAACCCCTAAACCCCTAAACCCCTAAACCCCTAAACCCCTAAACCCTTATGTGAAGCTAGCTATGCTGTTGGGTCCTTGGATGGGCTGCTATATAATTTGTTGGGTTCCTACGGAGTTATTGAAGGGGTTAAACCCTAAACCGTAATTTACAAACTCTAAACCTTCAACTCCAAACCTTAGACCCCAAATTCTACGAAGGCAGAGGGTTAATTTGGGGAGGGTGAGGGGCCCGTGTCAGGAGGGGGGGCAGTGCCAGAAGGCACACGTAAACCAACAAAGTGCCCGTGGTCGCCTTCCGCCGTACCCCGCAGCCTTAAGCCCGAATCTCAAGTTCTGACGTTTAGCGAAGGACCTCGCGCGGGGGCGGCGGAAGCAGGAGGAGGTGGGAACCTTTCAAAGTTTCACCTCAAACCCTCCACATCCCTAAGCCGTAAAAAGCTAAGCATCCCCAAACTCGAACCCATTTAGGTCCTCCCATAAAAACCCTCACACCCCTTAAACCCTTCAACCCTTCAGCCCTTCAACCCTAAACCCTAAACCCCTCAACCCCTTAAGGGTTGAAGGGTTAAAGGGTAAACCCTTAAGCCTTAAGCCCTTAAGCCCTTAAGCCCTCAAGCCCTTCCTTAAGCCCTTAAACCCTTAAACCCTCAAACCCTCAAACCCTAAATCCTGACCCTGAACCCCTCAACTCAACAACCCTTTTCTTCGGGTGTGTGTGTGTGTACTTCATCATAATGGAGGGTTCCTCCCTTCAGCCCGAAGCTCCCAAAGCCCTGGGCCTCCGAATCCCAAATCCTGAAGAAGTACGTGCAGATGTACACACATATGGGGGTTTCGAAATAGGGGACCTTTTTTGGGTCCCTTTAAGGGGATTCTATTCTATTTGGGGTATAAAGGGGTACCCCGTTATTTTGGGAAATGCCCATACGTGTGTTTGTATGTGCATACATATGCACACACACACACACTGAGATGTATTTGCTTGTGCACATGCTACATACAAAACAACGTCTGTACCTCCTGTGTATAATGTGAACACCCGCCGGCAATCATGAACGTCGTCTTGGGCGAGGCCGAGAAACTCACAGCTCTGAAAATCTTTCGACTTCATTCAGATAGTAGTTTTACAAAGTTCAAGCGAAGTTCAGCCACTTTCGAAGTGTGACTTCGCGTTCTTGTGCCGAGCGCAAACTGTTACAAAAAGCATACGCAAAAGTCAAAAGCGCCAAAACGCACAAAGGCCCCCCCCCCCCCAGCAAGAACAAAGGCCACAAAAAAGGCTCCAAAAAGGCTCCACAACACCCCAAAAGGCCCAAACCGAAGGGGTAAAAGCATGCACCCAAAATGACCTTCACATTCCCGTGGACGCTCACAGTGAAGAGGTCAAGGATCCCTAAGTGGCCCAAAGTGTCCGTGGTTTACATCCGAGCGGGGAATCATCAGGTGGTTTCTTGACTCATAGAGGTCTGCCTCATAGACAATCAAGTTTCAACAGTACATACGTACGTGCATGCATGCATCCATCTAGAAATGTGCCAAAACGGGGTCAATAAATCTCAAAGCCTACCAGTGCGCCGAGTGTTCCTCATGCCGGTACCGTTTGCGGTGCGTCGAGTCGGGTGGCTCCGCTATGGACCCACCCTGTGCCCCCAAGGTTCCCATCCCCTGAGCTCCTCCAACCCAAACCCTCAACTTTCTGTTTCTTGGCACCTTGTTCCAAATAGTCCCTCACATGATGAAAGGAACCCACCGTCGGTTTGCCAGTCCCTGTCAACACAGGACTATCGCCAGCGTCTGCGAAGCGAAGAGCTGCAGGATAGCATGTGGTTCGCTCGGGAGGCGGGGGGGAATGCCCAGGCCTCTTCGCAATGCAGTCAGGATTACCTTCGCTCCTCGTTTGGGCCCCCCTCCCCCCGCCCCCAAAGGCAAAAATCAGAGGTCAAGAGCTCAGAAGGGTTGTCGATGATAGGCTGCATCTGTGGAGGCCCATGAAACTGTTTTAGGCTCCCACCGCCCCGCTTCGGTTGTCTGACTCGTGACGAGTTCTGAGCCCAAAAACCTCGAAGCAAACCTCAAACCCGACTTTGGAGCGGCTTCTGCTTGTCACAGGGTTCAGGTTGACGTTCAGCGAAGCTTTGATTGGGGGAAGCTTGAGAATTATGGCGGGCGTCCGGGAGGAGGTCTCAGTGTTCTGTACCCCGGGCACGTGGAACCACATTTGCAACGGGAAAGCGCCTCGTTGCGGCGAATTGCTTGGCTACTCACGGCCCCATATGACAATGATGAAAAAGGCGCCATACTTTCGGGTTTGGCCCTATACCCAAGGTAAGCTAAACAAAACGTTGCGAAACGGATCCCTAAACTACAAACGGCCCTGAAACCCTGCAGCCAAAACTCTTCAACCCCCCAAACTCCATGACCTTCAGCTCCCCGGTTTGCCCTTTGAATTTGGAGTGTTTGAGGGTTTGCCGTTGGTTTCTTGGGGTTTTGGGGCCTGTCGGGTTTCTGTGGTATCATCTGCTTATTGGGGGCAATGCTGGACATGATAGGCGGACAACAGCGAGCTGGGTGCCTTCGGCATCTTCGATGGAGGCCCTTGAAGCCTTGATGGGTGTTTTAGGGTTTAGGGTTTCCTCGAAATCTTGCAAGCGAGGGCTTTACAACAAGAATCTACAACCGACATTGTTAAAATTTCCCTTGTTTGTGGAAAAGAATCTTAGGCAAACTACAACAGCAGTATGGCTTCAGACACTTAAAGAAAGCTGCTGAACGCTAGGCGCCTAGCCTGCCGGGAGGCTTGCCAGGCTTGCCCTGAGATTTGCGGTAGAAAAACCCTGTGCCTTGTATTAAAAAAGGAAGGCCCAACACCCTAAAGTCCATCAAGCCCTCATTAAACTCCAAACCGCGTAAACCCTAAACCCTAAACCCTAAACCCTAAACCCTAAACCCTAAACCCTAAACCCTAAACCCTAAACCCTAAACCCTAAACCCTAAACCCTAAACCCTAAACCCTGAACCCTGAACCCTGAACCCTGAACCCTGAACTGGAACCCTGAACCCATGAGCTCCTCAACTTCCGTAAGTCCTACACCCCAAACCCCCCAAAACCCCGAAGCGCCACGTAACATTGCGCAGCCTCCTGCGAGGCGTCTCTGACCTGGAAGAGACAAGTGAGGCCGAGGTGAGGGAAATGGGAAATCGGCTTTAGGCCTTGTAGGGCTTAGGGCTTAGGGTTTAGGGTTTAGGGTTCAGGGTTTAGGGTTTAGGGTTTAGGGTTCAGGGTTGAGGGTTTAGGGTTTAGGGGCTAGGGTTTAGCGCTTACTGTATTTCCTCTCTATCCGTGCTTGGCAACTTAAGTCAGTCTCTGCAAACCCGGTTTAGTGTGTTTTGTGGGTCTTGAAGCTGCTTTTCGGGGAGGCCTTTCGGGCTTTGTTTGGGAGTTGCAGGGCCCACTACCATCCGCAAGATCATGTGCTCTTCGGGCCAGTGATTCGAACCGGCCATCCACGTTCATTGTTTATCTCCCAATGTAGGCGTACCCCTAGATTGTATACCCCCAAAAAGAATAGTCCTCAAAAAGGGGACCCCAAATAGGTACCCGGCCTTGGGGAAATCCCCGTGTAGGGCTACGGGAAGAGAGGACTGGATGGATGCTGTCGCCCGAGAATACCGGGAACGATGTGCCACGCGGATGCCACAGAGAAGCCTGCTGTTCGGTATATCAAAGTCATGGAAACGACTAGCAACCATAGTAGGCAGGTGGGCAAGAAGGCTCAACGGCTTCCCAATCATGAAACCTTCGAATTCAGACCAATATGACCCAGCAAATGCATTCCGGAGACCAGCGCAGCGAGCGCTCAGGAACGCAACCGCGAAGTGCCGCAGGCTCGTCAGGATCCGACTGGTTCTGGGAAGTTTCAGCCTTTCGTGACAGGGGGGTTTGAGGGCTTAGGGCTTTAGGGAATTGCAGGGAAGCGGCACCCGTTAAACTCCAGACACCATAATGTGCACGGGACCACCCAAAATCTCGAAAGCCCCAAATGTAACCCTCAACCCTAAACCCAAGAAAAAAACCCTTTGCAAGCCCCCACGACGTCTCCACGGAAGGAGGCTCCCGCGGGCAAAGCTCCTACCAATCCCTTCGAGCGGCTCTTCCGCGCGCGGGAGGTGGGAACCTGCGGTACCTGGGACTAATTCCCTACAGTTCTTTGGGCTATGCCGTCCCAAGAATGAAGGGGGTAGATGAAACCGTACCAAGCTGTAGACTCTCTCTTCAAGAGATGACCCCAAAAGCGATCCCGAATCTTCGCACCACTATCCCCCAAGGCCCAACGCCCAGTGGGCATCCCCCGCACCTCGGAACCCCGAAAACCTTTGAAGCCTTTACCTCGAAAAGGCGCAGGCGCTTTCTGAAGCTTTGAAAAGGGTTCCGAAGCCGAATGGAACCTAAGCCCATCCTAAAAATCCTAAGCCTTTGGCCGTGCCACAAGAGGCCGGCAGCGACAGCCGCAAGCGCCCCAGGGTGCAGAGCCTACCAAAGCGCAGCTCGGCCCGGTTGGAAGCGGTGTGCTTTCGGGGGTTTAGAATCACCTCACCAATTCACTTCTCCCATCCGGAAAGAACGGCCAGTGACGTCTAATACTATGTGAGTTGTTTTTTAATACAAGGAGGGGAATCTGTTTACCATTCGGAGCTTGGTGGACCTCTGGAGCTTGAGGCTAAAAAGGGTCCGACTGCCACAGGGACTGGTGGTGCAAGGACGGCATGGAAACACCTGTTTCGGATTTCGAGCCCTGCACCGGCTTCCATTCTAGCTGCCAACACAAGGAACTCGTGTGTTGACTGTGTCGGCAGGATTGTTAGGTATTTACGCAAGGCCCCCTAAGCCTAGAGCGTCGTCCTAGGCCGCCACTCCTGCTCAGACACGGAGAAGGGCTTGGCAGACCGCCGTGCGGCAGATGAGGCAGGGGGGGGGGGGGGGGGGGTGATTCAGGGTTTAGGGTTTAGGCTTTAATAGTAGGTTTTAGGGTTTAGGCATGCTTCATCTTGCAATCCAAGGCTTCAGGGCCTCGCGGCTTGTAGCACTGAAGGATCTTGGGCGTTGGAGCGGCTCTTGGTGCGACTACAGCGCTCACCACGCACCACCTCTACAGAAAGCCACCAAAGTATGATGCCCTCCAAGACGCACGGAGCTGGGAAACGTCCGAAGAACCGTAAGTTGTTCAATCCCAGAGGCCCCTTGAACCCGAAAGACCTCTAAACCATGAGAGGACATAGAAATGCATGACTTGAAACTCAGAGTTCTAAACTCCAAACCCTGAAACCCCAGAGAAGCAGAATTTTCGGGCTCGGGAGGATCGCTTGGAAGCCTTCCGCCGGCGGGTGGCCGCACAGCCCCCCAAGAGCTGCGGCTTTCCTGCAGCTCTTGGGGCTTTGGGGGCTTTGGGGGCTTTGGGGGGCTTCGGAGTTTTGAGGCTTTTTAGGGTTCTGGGTTGAAGGGTTAGGGTTGCGGGGTGTTAAGGGTGCCTCGTGCCCGTAGTCCCTTTTAGGGTTCTTTTGCAAACCCTTCCATGGATTGAGGGCTTAGGGTTTTAGGGTTTGGGGTGTTGAGTTCAGGGTTCAGGGGGTTTTCCGGGTTTAGGGATTTCGGATTTGGGGCTTAGGGCTTGGGGCGTTGGGGTTTTGAGGCTGCTCTCCTAGCATTGAAGGCTCGGAAATCTTGTGGATCCTGGCACCCTAGAGGCTTGGAATGGTCCGAGGCCCTAAACCCTGAATCCCTGACATCCTAAATCCCCAAACCCTAAATCCATGAACCCTGAGCAGAAATTCTTGGGCCCAAGCAAAACCCTCCCTAAACGCCCCCAACCCCCCCCCCACCCCCACCCCCCCAACCCCCCCGCTTCTGAGAGCGCTTCCCCACGAGGCGAGGAGCTGCCATGGCCTTCGGGCCCGCCAGACAACCCGGTGCACCTGCACTCCAAGATGCCCAAAGACAGGGTTTAGGCTTTAGGGTCTAGGGTTTAGGGTTTATTCTTCTTGGTGTAGGGTCTAGGGTTTAGGATTGAGGGTTAGGGTCGAGGGTTTAGGGTGGGGCTCTCAGAGATCTGGACTCTGTTTGTGTTTTTTGTTGGGGGGGGGGGGGGGCTTTGGGGGGGCGTTAGGGGTTGTTAGGGGCTTTGGGGGATTAAGGGGTTTAGGGATGTACATGAGACCCCAAATTTGGAGACCTTGGCATGCAAGCATTGTGCTGTCAGAAGCTGTCCGGTTTCTCTTGTTGCTGCCTTCTGTCACCAGCTGTCCCTAAACCACTAAGCATTCTGCTGTCCAGTTTCTGTTGTTGCTGCTTTCTGTCACAAGCTGTCCCTCAACCCTAAAGCATTCTGCTGTCAGAAGCTGTCCGGTGTCTCTTGTTGCCGTGTGAGCGCAAAGGCAGCTCCGGAGAAGAGCGCCTGAACCCTAAACCGCCCCTAAACCCTAAACCCTAAACCCTAAACCCTAAACCCTAAACCCTAAACCCTAAACCCTAAACCCTAAACCCTAAACCCTAAACCCTAAACCCTAAACCCTAAACCCTAAACCCTAAACCCTAAACCTAAACCCCTAAACTAAACCTAAACCCTAAACCTAAACCCTAAACCCTAAACCCTAAAAACTAAACCCTAAACCCTCAATCCGACGGCTAAGCCCGCCCTCCGTCCCCCTTCAGGAGCTTCTTCTCTCCACGCTGCGAGAGGCGCTGCGCCGCTGGCATCCTGACAAGGTGCTTCTTCTTTTGTTTTTTTTTTGGGGGGGGGGGGGGTGCGGGGGGCATGGGGGGGGGGGTGGGGCGGTCGGGGGGGTCTTCGGTTTGTTTGTTTTTTTTTTAATTATTTTTTTCAGGGAGGGTGGACGATTTTAGGTTTACAAGTTTACAAGGTTTTGTTCAACGGTTCCCAAACCCCAAACCCTGAACCCTCAACCCTGACAACAAACCTACGTCTACGCAAGAGGTGCTGGCGCAGCTCGCGCAGGCGCTGCCGCCGGTCGAGAAGGAGAAGGCCGACCCAATTGGAGGTTTAAAGGGATTTTGTGGGGCGCAGGGTGGTTGCTGGGGTTGAAGGGGTTTAAGGGGCTTCGAGTGGGGGGGGGGGGTATTTAGGATTTGAGGGGTCAGGGTGTGCTTAAGGTTTGAGGCTGTTGGGGGTTTATGGGCTTGGAGGCGAGTTAGGGCGCTGGATGGACTCAGGTGTTGGGGTGGTGTATGGTTTATGGGCTGTTGGGTGCACCGCCCCAACGCACACAATGGTCCTGTAACCCTGAATTATAATTCTACCCCGCCCCAGGACCCTAGAACCACTGAACTTTATATGACCCCAGACCTCTCTCCCCTCCTCCCCCTTAACCCTAAGCCCCAAGGCGGCGCAACGAGCCACGGCCCTGGCACAGCAGCTGACGGCCACCAAGGCAGCCTTTGCGGCGCCACCAGTCTTCGAGTCATAAGGGGTTATGGGCATAGGCATGGGCATGAGCATTGGCGTAGGGATTAGGGTGTAGGGTAGAGGGTTTATAAGGGGTTGGGCAACGATCAACAAAAACTCAGCTTCAGAGATGATGAGCGGGCTCCTAGCTGAAGGTCGTTTTGGGGACTATCAGGAAGGGTTTCGTGTTTTTGGGGTTTGAGGACTTTCGGGACGCGGTTTGGGATATTGGGGTTCGAGGTTTGGGGGTTTGGGGTAGAAGGTGTATCACTCGTGCCTTACGTGTTTAGTGTGCAAGGATCAGGGCATTCTAGGCTGAGGGGCGCAGCGTGTCCCGGAAAAGGAGGGGGTGAGGGGTGTTTGGGGTTTCGAGTCTGGGGCTTGTGATGGATGTTTTGGTTTTGGATCGAGCTGCAAGTCTTAACTGTGTCAGGCCTTCGCTTACTTGTCCTGAGCAGGGGATTGGGAAGGATAACCATCCTCAAGCTTCTTGAGAAGGCCCCTAGTCCCCCAGCCGGTTCTTCTTGACTCTCTCTTTTGCTACATGCGGACCTTGTGACGTGGCATGCGCCTGCTTCTTGGTCCTCTTGGTGTGGCGTTCGCTTTTGTCATCTTGTCTTGCTTCTTCCACAGTCGGCAGCTTCCCAAGCCAACCTCTGCAGACAGCCTGCCCCGCACCCAGGCACCTTTGTGCAGTGGCCGTTGGCGACTAAGGCAGACATAGCATTCGGGCCTACAGGGCTTCAACTCTACAGACGTACCCCAAAAGGACAATTTCAGAAGTTCTTGTTACGCTGGCATCACTTCATGGGGGGTTTACGGCTTGTGGTTGCGGATTCAGAGCCTTATAGTCTCAGGCTTTTAAGGTATCAAGGTATGGGGGTGGAGCAGATGAGTGTGCATACGGTGGCTTCTGTGCCTATACAGCTGTCCGACAAGTGCGAGACTGCGTTGACAGCAGATGGTCCCCTCATTCGGATAAGAATACCCACCCGAACTCGAAAGGAGAGAGAAGGGCCGTTGATAAGGTTTAGGGTCTAGGATTTACGGAATTGCGGATTCAGGGTCCATCAAAAGGATAAGAACAGAGGTTTCGGGACGACTTGGCGGCTGAGTGGTTAAACAGATGCACCTTTTGAAGCGTTTTGGGGTTGAGGGTTCAGAGGGCTCCTCCCCCAAGAAAACAGACTTCCCTTCTGCATTTATGTTGGTTTTTATGGTGACGAAGAACGCCTCCTGGGTCCTCGGTTTGGGGTTGAGGGTTTCGGTGAGGTTTTGAGAGCTCTGTGGCAGGCGCGGGCTTGCCGACGCCTGGTTCCTTGCACCAGGCTCGTGGTCTCAGGGTACAAGACACAAGTGAAAGCCGTTGACCCTTCTGAGCCTCTGCAAAGATCTGAAGCCTCCTGCAAGGCGGCCTTGAGGGGCGAGGGCAACATTGCGCAAGCACGCCTGGGCCTGGACGAAGCTAGGTTGCAGCTGACATCTCGTTTTTTGGTTTTTGTCCCTTTTTGGGTTTCTGAGGATCATATTCAAGAAGCTGTTTAAGAGTGTTTGAAGGGCCGAGCTTCTGTTAGTGGAAGGAAAGGCCAATGCAAAGGCTTCTCTACAGGGCACGTCCTCCACTTAGTGTACACTGTAGCCACGAACCGTTTGCTGCGAGACATCTGCGAGCCTTACCTTGCCCAAGACCCACTTCCAACACGGCTCAATGCACATTGGGATCAGTTCGGGGAAACTTCCCCTAAGCCACAGATCCCCCCAACTGAGCCTAGACCCTGCACCCAAACCCTACACCCTCGGTCGTGCCTGATGCACCGGAGACGTTGAACAGCCACAGCTTGCGCGCCGTTCGGAGTCGAACAACAGCCATCGACAACATCTAGTTCGATATGAGGACGCCTTGATCTTTGTTTTGTTCGTGTTATGTTTGAAGAAGAAAGGCTTAAGGCGAGCATGAACCCTTTGGCGGCGTGTCAGAAGCAGTCCCCAGTGGACATCATGCTGGTCGGTGCTGCTATTCTAGCTGTTTTACCTTGTCTTGACACCCGAGAAATGCCGCTGCGGGACTTGGTGATCCTAGCCAGTTCCCTGCAGTTAGAGGTCAAACCCTGAACCCTACTTAAACCCTTTAAGCCCCCAAACCCTTGAGAAACCTTCCCCCCTCTCCCAGGCAGTGGTCGGGACCGAGTTCTTCCAGCCTGCGCAAGCAGCCTGAAGGCGGGTCCGAGGCCCGCTGAAGCCCACAAAAGCGAGGTGATGGAGAACCCCTGCCGAAACGCCTCGGGGGCTTCTTAAGGGGTTTAGGATACATGGGCTCTGCAAGACGGGAGGGCTTCTGGGGTTGGAGCTTGAGGTGACAGATCAGCTTTCAAACTCTTCTTGTGTCCTTTTTTTGAAGAGGCGCGGCAGCAGTTGGCCGACTTCTTGGACAACTGCCTCGCTGAGATAGCTGGCGCGGCAGCGCTCGGTGCAGGTGGCCCATGCCAAGGCGCCTGCTTGAGGGCATTGTAGGACTGTAGGGGGTTTAGGGTTTAGGGTGGTAATTAGAGGTGAGGGTAGTTTAAAGTTGGGGTTCTAGGGCGTGGGGTTTACGGGGCTTGTGAGGCTTATGGGCATTCAAGAGGGCATGATGCACTGCATGCCCTCCTAAAAGCAAAGCTTCTCCGATGTTTCCATACCCTCATTGTGGTATGTTTCAGTACGTTTCAAAAGGTGCTGGCGCCGCCATCAGTCCACGTGTTCCACAAAATTTAGCGTGTCGGCTGTTCGGGGCTCATGGTGGGTCCGGGGCCTTGGCCCTGCTTGGTGGACATTTCTCTAAGGCTTGGCGCCCTAGACCCTCCTAGACCCTCGCCCGAAGGTGCCTCGCAACCACGGAGGCCCAGAAGAAGACCGAGGGGCAGCTGGCCATCACGAACCAGCTGCCGTGGCCAGGAAACCCGAAACTCCCGAAGGCTGGTGTTGAGGGTTCCAAACCAGGGGTTTAGGGCGGTTGATAGGGTTCGGATCTAGAGAACGTCAGGTCTAGGTCCTAGGTGGCGTTCAGGGCTTGAGGGCTAATTATTACCGGACTGCTTAGGTGCACAGGGGCTACATAGTCTTCAGACCGACCGGATAGCAGGATGTACTCCCTAGCTAGGGCTCATAAGGGTCTAAGGGCTGAACTCTTCTTCATCGGCCCCATAGAGATATTACGGATTCCCAAGGTCTTTAGAAGCAAACAGAGCAGGCCCTGAGGAACCAGGACCCCTCGAAAGTGAATCCGGAAGTTGCGGCCGCCCCTGGGTTCAGGCTTTGAGGACTTGCCAAAACAGGGGTTCGGGAAATCATCCGAGTTCAGCCTGTTGGTGTGGTCCTGAACTCGTAAACCCCCAACCCGAAAGTTCGAACTATGGTTCGGGTTTAGTGTGCGTGGTTCCTGTCTAAGAAGCTACCCGCCAGAGCCCTCAAACGCCAAATCCCTAAGACCCCCAAAATCCCAAACCCTGAAACGCTAAACCCTAAAACCCCAAACCAGAACGTTGGACGTTCAGTTCAGCTAGGCGGGCGGCAAAACATAGAAAAGCCCTAAACCCGGACCCTGACTTTCAATCCCCCCCCCCCCCCCCCCCCCCCCCCCCCCCGACCCAGCACACCCAGCGAGGCCAACAAGATAGGAAGCTCCTCCACAGTTCGAAGGAGCAGAAGCAAGCAAGCTTGAGACTTGGGCCGATCTTGAGAGAACTACTACACCGTTAGTTGCGCTATTGCCGGCTAAACCCTCAAACCCTGAACCCTCAAACCCTCAAACCCCAAACCGCTAAAACACCCAAGGAGCCCGAAACGCCCGAGAAACCCTGGGGCAGCCCAGGAGCTGCAGCGGCAGGAGGACCAAAGGACGATCCAAAACGATGAGGCAGCCGGGTAGATGAGGGTGGCGTTAAGGGACAAAGTTTTTTCGTGGTGAGTCTGTACACACTTGTATATTACATGCACATATATATATATATATATACATATGTATATATATATATAGATGTGTCGTTATTTGTTTATATTGCATATATACTTACGGTTATATTTCTTGTTTCTATGTATGGTTTCTTGCAGATATTGGTGAGTATCTCCCATTTACATCAACGCGATGCACCTTGCAACACACGAGGCCGCGCGAAAGCCGTGAAGCCCCGATCCTGACATCCATACACCTGACAACAGATTGAGCCCGACCTTTAAACCACGTTTGTCGAAGAAGTACAGGCCCCAAATTCATCAAGCTTTTTGGGCAGGCCAGGCTTCAGCCTCTGGCCACGGGCCGCGTGGAGCAGCTGGGACGCCGCCTCATCGATGGGCACGGGAATCTCACCCAGGCGGTTGAGGGTTTTTAGGGTTTCAGGGTTTTTTTCTTGGGCTTCTAACCGCAGTCGTGGGTTCATTGGGGCTCTTAGAGTTCGAGGGTCGAGGCAGTAGCAGGGTTTGAGGAATTAGGTATCTTTTGGTTTTTTATGGAATGCAGTCTAATAAAATACCCTAAACCCTAAGCCCTAACTCCGAATACATCATATTTCAGACAGCCGATGCGGAGGAGGGGCTTCTTCAGCAGACGCTGGACGAGCTCCTGGCTTCTCGGCTTGTGATCCTCAGCGGCTCTGTGCCTTACATTTCTGCCAATATTCGCTGTCTAGGGTTTAGGGTTTAGGGTTTAGGGTTTAGGGTTTAGGGTTCAGGGTTTAGGGTTTAGGGTTTAGGGTTTAGGGTTTAGGGATCTTTTAGGACTCTTTTTGTAAGCCACATGAAGCAAGGGTACTCTTTTTGGCCCCTGCCTCGTTGAAACAATCTCGTTGTTGCTGCCGACCATGAAGGGGGCAGGTAGAGGGGACTCGTAAGAACAGTGGGGTTCGTGCCTCCGATTCCCCAACAGCAACACACAGCAACATGAGCCTGAAATCCATACGAACCTCTTCAGAGGATGCCCCTGAGGCCCCTGAGGCCCTGTTGTTTTTGAGCATTTGGGGTGTTGAGGATTTGGAGCTTCGGGTTGATTGGCTTCAGGGTTTCGTGTAGTGTACATGGCCAAGATCAAGCCAAACAAGTCCTCAACCCTGCAATACAGGCACCTCCTGGACCCCGGCACTTTGACCCCGAACCTTAGGTTCTGAACCCTGACCCTGCGAGCCCTAAGTAAAACCCAAGCCGCTCAACCCCTCAAACCCCCTGACCCTAAACCCTGAGGTTTAGGGTCTAGGGGAAACCCTAAACCTCGACGCCCCTGAAGTTTCAGGTGGTGCCAGGGACATGGCTCAGTGCGACCAGGCGCCCTGACATTCCTTCTTTGGTTTTTAGGATTTGGGGTTTCGGGACGATGTCTTTCTTTCCTAGGCTTTTGTACAGTGGCGTTTGGGGTCAGGGCTTTTATAGGAGCTTCGTGGCGTTTGGGGTTATAGGAGCTTGGTATTTGTGGCTTAGGGTCTTGTGAAAAATTCTGGCAGGTTCTCGGGTTCAGGGTGTAGGTTTATTTAAGCGGGTTGGGGCACTACTGGGGCATGTACTCAGAGTTGGTGGTTCAGGCTTCAAGTTTTGAGATCTAGAGCGTGTAAGATTAGCTCCTTTGAAGCGCAAGGGGTGCAATTAGGGATGCAGTGCATGGGTTTGCGCTGTAAGGGGGTTATGTGCTAAGGAGTTGAGATGCATGGTCATCGTTAGTGCTTTTTTGAGGGTTTTGAAAGCCCTGTTGACCTTTGTACTCCAAGGACGATCAGGGACTCCAATTGCAGGGAACTTCAAACCCTAAACCCTAAACCCGGAGGTCAGTCTCGGAGGCAGTCTGGAAAGCTCAGGGTTTAGGGTTAAGAGGCTCGCTTGAACCGGCAGCCAACACAAGGAATTCTGGGCCCTTCCAACAGGGCTTGGGATGTCGGGGTGTATGTTGGGCTTCCTTATAGACAGCCCCGACTCTATACCGAAACCTCCCAGACCACGCAGCTCAACCTTGCTTTTTTTTGGTAGCCTTGGGAATTTAGGGCCTCTTCATGGGACTCCCCACGGAAGGACGCGCAGCAGGCTCCCAGGAGCTGCACGCGCGCGAAGTGCGCTCGCGGGAGGCCCGCTAGCTCCTGCAGCGCGGTGTTGCTTACTGCGCCATTGTTGTGCAGGTTCCTGCTTGAAGGCTAGCCGCTGTTTGCATTGAGGCATCTACAACTTGAGCAAGGGTCAAACACATGGTAGTCAGAGTTGCCGCTGTACCTTGGGAGGACATTGGCATGCTGAACCCCTGTAAAGCGACCGGCAACACCGAAAAGCGACGCCCCACTTACAGCTACTAGAGCAGAAGCCTCAGTCCACCACTGTCAGTGGTACTGACAGCTGGCCTGTGACACCAGCGCCTGTGATTTGTAGGGCCTTGGGCAGTGTCGGATTTATGACAGTTCGGGTTCTTGCTCTTGGGCCTGAGTCATGCGCAGGCCCTTCGGCGCCGCATGCGCAGATGTCGTCGCCAACCAAAAAGTTCGCCTCCATGAGCCTCATTCACCCAAGGCAAAATAGATGACCCTGCACGATTCCAGTCCTTCTTAGGGTATGTGGCATACTTGGGCCAGAAACCTTTCGGGTTCATTCAGCCTGAAGGGTTCATTCAAATAGCTCAGGAAGGCCAAGCCGAGAAGCCATCATCGTAGCAGTGACCCGAACGTCGGTAACGCAGCTCCATGCATGCGAGTGAACGCTTCTTGTCCTGGGCATGAGGTTAAGTCTTCGACTACTGCATCTTGCCACATATTCAAATATCTACTACAGTAGGAATCTTGTTACTGGTAGTCTTTTTTTCGTGAGGAGTCCGGCAGGTCTGCAGATATATTTGCGCCTTGATGGCTTCGCCCCGGCCATGAAGCAAAGATGTGCATGTCTGCCCCTCTTCGCCATCCTGCCGTGGGGGCTGAGCTGGCTCGGAAGCTTCGGAGGCTTCGGAGGTGAGAGGGGCCGGGTGGCACGGCGAGCCAGCCTGCTGGTGCCGGCGCGCCTCGTTGAAGAAACCTACGGGCAGCTGGCAGGTGCCGGCTGCATTCCCAGGCCCCCCCCCGTGAGACGCGATGGCAGATCTTCATCTCAGGGCTTCGGAATTCGGCTTTGGGATATCCTTAATGACTGTTGTCATTCAACTCTGTCATCATCGCTTGCTTGTGCTTTTGTTGTTAACGATGTATGTTGTCATTACTTGTATTTACTGCAAGGCTGAAGCCAAATCCCGCGCCCGACTTCGCCAAAATCGGAAACCCCAAGCCCACCAAAGCCTGCCCAAGCCCAGTTTCCCGAATTAGGGTAGCTGTCTCGTACCGCGATTTTGGGAAATACCCGTCGCTGGAGAGTAAGGTGCCCTGTTGGAGTGCAGAGGCAAAATGATCAACCTTGATCTTGGTTTGATGATGCAGACAGCTTCAGCAACCGGTTCTGCCTAGACAACCCACTCTAACTCGCACTCCTGCTGGTACTATGATCAGGACTTCTTCTTCTTCTGCTTACCCTCGTTTGTCTTGAGTAAGCCTACGCCTGAACCCTGAAACCTAAACGCAACTTCAAGTGAGTGAGAGAGAGAGGAAGCACGAGAGAGATAGATAGAAATAAAGAAGGATAGAAGGGAATACGGAAGAAAGAAAGACAGAAAAGATAAAGAGATAAACAGTAACAGGAAGACGCGAAGAAAATGAAACCAGGAACATAAATCACTAATATAGGAAAAAGGCAGAACGGAAAATCAAACAAGGAAAGGAATGAAAAAGAAAGAAGGAAAGAACAACCAAGAAAGAAAGATGCCAGGCGATGGCATCCTGAGGGTCGGTACGGGATTCCCATCCAAGTGGCGGAGGATGCGGGGAAGCGGCTCATCCCCCTGTTGCCCGGAGCGTGTTAGGGGGGGAGCGGTGGGGGGGGGGGGGGGGGGGGGGGGGGGGAGGGTCTTTTGCAGGAAGGTTCAGAGTTTATAGGGGTTCAGGGGGTCAAGCGGTTTTAGGGCTTCAGGGTTTCAGGGCTTGGTGTGGTTTAGGGTTTTGGCGGGCGTTGGACGGAACGGTTTTTGGTGGGCTTTCAAGGCAATGCAGGCACTTGCCACCCAACCCATGGCTCTCCCCAGCCTTAAGAGCTAAACTCTCTTACCGCGAAGTCGTCCAATTGTCCACTTGTTTGCACGTCCCCCAGGCTGGCGAATGCTGTGGACAGGCCCGGGGCACTGACTCCCCTCCCATTGGATCAATGTAAGGGTGTTCCTCTACACATTTTCAGATGCATTTACATATACATATACATATACATATACATACACATATACATACACATACACATATACATATACATATACATATACATATACATATACATATACATATACATATACATAACGTTCCTTTTAAGGGACGCTCGCAGGTACCTAAGTCTACTGTTTTAGGAAGACCCGGGAGTAGCAAGTCAACACCCAAGATTTTCAACCCTAAGCTCTCCTCAGATTCTGGGCTGCCAGGCTCCCTCCAGACGTGCGTGCCAACCTGGGCGCAGGGACGGTGCAGCTGAGGGAGAAGGCCGCGTGCGCAGCATGCAGTTTGAGTCAGAATGCCCAAAGCAAGCAATGGCAAGCCCAGCTTGAACATCCACTTGACTGCTGTAAGCAGGGCACTTCTACGTATGTTTTCGACCCGTACTTGTGACTGGATTTTTCCCACGAACCGTCAAGTAGGGTCAGTAGGGTCTGTAGGCAGCATGCCAGGAGATCCCCTGGAAGAAGATGCCCGCGCGGCCCATCTGCCCTGACGTTGGCGACATCGTGCGGTCTCGCCCCGCAACCTGGCCTGTATAAGCCAGCCACAGCAAAAGCTCCCCTTAAGACAAATCCGCGAAGCGCCCCAACGACCCCAAGTCCCATTACGGTGCTCCGATGGACAGTGCGTGAATCACTAGGCTGGGAACTTTACCTTCGCCGAGCTCTTCGCGGGCATCGGAGGCTTCCGGCTAGGACTGGAGCGCCTGGGTGGGTCCTGCGTCTTTGCATCCGAGATCGAGCCGCACACACGAAGCCGGGCTCAGGGTTTCCAGGGGTTTCCGGATCCGAGGTTGCTGGACTGCTGGACATGAGCTTTTGCTTCGGGTTAGAGTGGGGTTTAAGGGGGCTTTTGCCTGTCCACTTCTAAACTGTATCCAAGCAGCCCAGGAGATCTCTACACTCGAAACTTTGGCCATGTGCCGGTGGTGGCGGGCGACATCCAAGAAGTCCATGCGTCGGATATACCGGCCCATGACATCTTGGTCGCCGGCTTCCCTTGCCAGCCTTTCTCGGCTTTGGGTTCCCAGCCTGCCTTCGATGATGAGCGTGGGCTGCTCTTCCGTGAGATCGTGCGAGTTCTGGGCGCTGCAAAGCCCCGCTTCTTCCTGTTGGAGAATGTACCTGGCTTGCTGCGTTGCGGGAGGGCCCTGGCGACGATCATGGAAGAGCTCTCCAGCGCGGGCTACGAGGTCCGCGTGGAGACCGTCAATGCCCGACAGCTCACGGCCCAAGCGAGGAAGCGGGTCTTCTTCATCGGTTTTCGGTCTCACGCTTCTCAAGCGTCTCCACCCCGGAGTTTTGAATTGCCACGGATTCCTGACCTGTGCCTGCGCGCGGAAGACGTACTGGAGACCGAGGAGGAAGTGAAACGAAGCGGATTGCTGGAAGACTACACCCTCACTGACGAGCAGTTCCTCCGACTCCAGGAATCCGAGAAGTGGGCACGGCGCGGGGGTATGGCCAGCACCTTAGCCTGGAATGACAAGGTCTGTGCCACCCTCGTCGGCCACTACGGGAAAACCCTCCGAAAGGGCAACTCTCAGCTGGTGCCGCGGCCGGCGCCCTCCAAGCCGCGGCGCTTCACTCCCCGGGAGTGCGCCCGCCTCATGGGTGTCCCAAACTCCTTCAAGCTCACGGGGCGCAGAGAGGACAGGGGTAGGTCTGAACATAATTTCTAATTTTCTTACCCTTAATCCCCTAAAAATAGTCCTCATAAAGCCATAAGAAATTCATTTTTCTGCTCAAAACCTACCCCAGAGGACCAGACGCCCGGGATGTGGTATCGGGCCTTGTACAAGATGTTTGGGAACAGCGTGAGCCCTCCGGTGGTGGCGGCTTTGTGCGGATCCATCCTGGCCACTTCCGACACCTCCCATCTCCCAAAGGATTTCGTTTTTTTTTGGGGGGGAGGGTGGGGTTTGGGGTTTGGGGTTTGGGGTTTAGGGTTTAGGGTGTAGGGTTGAGCGCTTGATTTGGGGACGGGCTTCTAGGGTGTTTTAAGGGCATGTCAGTATTCTGCAATTAACGCTTGTCTTTTTGGAAAATGTCCTGCTTGCCTCTCCTTCAGCGGCGCAGCGCAACCCGCCTCGGTCAAACCTTACAATCCCAAGCCTTCCAAACTCTACAAGCCGTGCAAGAACCCCCACCAAACCCCCCAAAACCCTGAACCTTACAAAGCCTCTGTCACCCTCGAAGCACAACAAGACTTTACAAACCCCACAAGCCCTAGGGTCCCAAACGTAAAGCCTACATACCTGCATTCAACCCAATAAAGCCTACAACAAGCCCTCCTACAAAAGCCCTGCACAAATCCTACAGAAACCCTAAACCCTAAACCGCAGAAAAAAAAAAGCACCTCGAGACCCAAGAGGAGGCGGGCCTCAGCGCGGCCCTGGAGCTGGCTCTCGAAGCCTTGGCGCCCAGGCGCCGAAGACGCTTCGAGGAGCATCTGCACGAGTCCTTTAGAACCAGAGAGGGGGGAAAAAGAGGGAGTTTGGGGTTTATAGGCTTTAGGGTTTAGGGCTTAGGGTTTCGGGTTTGGGGTTTGGGGTTTGGGGTTTAGGGTTTAGCGTTTGGGGTGGGTTCGTATATAGGGTTCATAGGTCGTTGAGGGGGGGGGGGGAGGGAGGGAGGCTGCTGTAGATTTGTTTTGGGTTTTCGGGTGAAGGAGGTAGGGCTTCAGGGTTTGGAGTTAGGGGTTTGGGGGTTTAGTGCTAGGGCTTTGCCCTCCCTTGAGAGCTCCAGGAGCTGAAGCTTCATGTGCAGTTTTAGGGTTCAGGGTTTGGGGTTTGGGGTTTAGGGTTTCGGGTTTAGGGGTTTAGGGTCGGGTCATGTGCATCTAGAGTGTATAAGAGTTTCTATCGATATACCTGTGAGACGAACAAGATCGATCGTAGCGGAGAATCCTGCTACTTGTCATAGCAGCCGTTGTGGCAATATCATTTTACGGCATGGTGTGGCATGGTTGCAGGAATGAAAAGACAACATGAGGTTCCTGAATATCAGCCGTTGTGTGTAAAATGGCAATGATATTTGAGAATGGTAGTATCAGAAGCAACGGTAGAACTTGGAGTGTTTTCACAGACACCGATACACAGACACCCGGACACACAGACACACAGACACACTGACAGATAGAGCCAAAAAACAGACAGACAAACGCAGAGACAGGCACATCCGCGCACGCGAACAAGCATCCGAGCAAGCGAGGACAAGCCCGCGCTCGCGCGAGGGCACGCGCTCGCCCGCTTGCGCACACGCACCATCCCGAAGGTACATCGTGCTGCATCGTTTTTTGTAAGCTGTATTCACAAAGCGTAGTTGTTGAGTGGCTGCTTAGCGTCCATATTGTTATTCTTAACATACTGATAGTACTTTTAATATTGTTAAGACTACTAGTACGATTCGTAGGCCAGGCTCCAGAAGCCTTGAGAGGGAGGCCATGGTGCTGGGGTTGGGCTTCCCAGTGTGCTGCGCTGCCTTTCCTGCCTTGACCTATTTCATTTAGAGGCGAAGCTGATAAGGGAAGCGTTTTTGTTTTAATATTATTTTGTTGGGTTTAGGGTTGAGATTTTTGTGTGTTGCTTGTTTCGTTTGTCCTTGTCTCGTCCTTTTTTTGTCACTGGCGGATTTTTCACTTGAATTGGGAGAACCCAGGAAAGGAAACTTCTGGTGTGGAGGGCACTCCCGACTTCCCGGAACCCGCACGTCGAGGCCGCCTTCGCTGTGCGACTCGGTCTTGGGGGGCCCTCTTAGTGCGCTTTTGTCAACTGCTTTGTTGGGCGCCTTCTATAAACATTCCCAGCTGGAGGGTTGCCTAACAAACGTCATCAAGTCCGATAAGTTTATGGGCGCGACAAGTATTCTTTGCGTCTTTTCTTTTTTTTGCACCGAGGCCTCCAGGGGCCCCCTGGAAGCCGGCGGATCCTGCGGACGCGGTGGGCAGATCGGCCTGGGCTCTGGGCAGTTTCTGGCCAAGGCTTCGACGCAGCTTCGGGGCTCCATACCAGGATGGGGTGATTAGGTGATTAGGCTTCATAGTGCCCATAGTCAGCCTAGTTCAGGGATCAGTATAGAGTGCAGTGGCCTCCGATCCTGGCAAGTGCCCCCCGAGCTCTTGAAAGGCAGTCCTGGCCTCACTAAGCAAGAGCTACGCGAGGCCAAGCCCTTGCGGCCACAGGCACACCTGCGGATATCCCTAGCTGCCGCAGAAGCGCGGGCAAGTGCATAAACCCCAGCCCTGGTGCCTTTCGCAGTCGCAGATGACTTGCCTCGCCGCCCCCGTATAGAGTCGAAACGTTGAAAGGACTCACAAGACTTGCGGTGGGGTGCAGGCGGGTCTCGCGGTGCCATCCTCCCAAGGTTTACATGTTGGTGCCCTAAGTCTTGGATTCCGGGGGGAGAGGCACCACGCGACTCGAGAGCTTGGGGTCTATGCAGGTGTTTCATCGTTGCGCTTTGTAGGGCCCTTAGGGCCTCAAGCCCAACGCTGCTGAAGCGCTGAGAGCTCACCAATCCCTCCGTGCGCGTTCGCGATGTTCAGGCCAGGGGTGGCAATCTGCCTTAAGCACCAGCTCGAAAGCGCTGGGCGCCCAACTGAAGCACGAAGCCGACAAGGCCCAACAGCTCGGCCCAGCCTGGCTTCTTCGAAGATCTCATATTTATGTTTTTTTGGGCTCTAGGGGTTTTTCGGGCTTTTCGGGGCTTCGGGGCAGAAACTAATCCGAATGCCCTAAGCTTACACCGGACGTGCAGGCCCACGCAACGCAAGGTGGCCCTTAAGGTCAGCAGCCCCTTCCAATCCATGTTTGCCACACACATCCCGACCCGGCCTGTAAAGCTGAGATGCTGCTTTCTTGGAGGTGCCCAGTGACCCGAAGCCAAGAGCCAGGCTGAATCAAATCAAGACCTCCGTCGCTCTCTCAATCGCCTTGAAGTAGTGCGACCACGGCCTCCGCGGCCCGCGCCTGCAAAGCCCAGGGCCAGAATCTTCTGCCTTTCTGGGAGAAAGCAAAAATCCAAAGTGGCAATTCAAGGGCCTCTCCTCTTTGGTCCCTCTGTTAAATCCTTAATCCTAAGCAACTGAGGCCCAAGCCCTAAGCAACGGCTGGGCGGGATCCCCTCGGACGTGTCTGAAGCGAGAGGAGAGATTCTTGCGCTGTGGGCCGGGACGGGCATGGATGTTATGTGCCGCGCCGCTTAGTCCCCCAAGGTCAGTACTACAGGAACCGGGTCAGTTCTCGAAATTGTGGTCCGCCTTTGGGTACCCAAAATGAAAGTTATCCACAAGACCCCGATCACCAAGCCTATTTGGCCTGCTTGCCTTTGGGAGATGCAAGTGACATGTCTTGGCTTGAGATTCGGGACTGCTGGGACGCGGCCGCTCCAAGCCTTGGCGGGGGCCTTTGGGGGCAAATGGCTAGAGGGCTTAGGATGCACGGTGCAGGGGACGAGGGTCATCCAGAGAGCCGGCCCCAAGCCATGTCTGGTTCACCTTTCATAGTGAAGCCTCGAAGAATTTCCCGCTCCAATGCTTTGAAGGCGTAGAAGCCTCAAAGCACCGGCCTCGATCCAGAGCGGCCCACCTCGTGGGTTTTGGATTACAGGAAGATGTTCTCGATGGGTCTGGGCTTTCAGGGGCCTTAGGCTCCAATGCTTGGAGTTGGCCTCCGTGGCTCAGGATTCGAGTGTTGGAGGTCTCGGACGGGGCGGTGGCGTCGGCGTTGACGAGCCGAAGCTTCATATACAAAGTCAAAGTCAAAAATGGTTCACTGGATCTGACATGCGTTAATCGCCGCTGCAAAGCTACGAGCCTTTTTTCTTCCGAATAGTTCACCCTCCAAGTCGGGAAACACTGTTTGTGGTCCCCTCCTGGTTTTTCTTCCCCCTTAATAGGAAATTCGAAGACCTCCTTCCTTGTGCCTTCGGGGTTTAACATTTAGTCGAACAGCCCGTCGGGGGTAGATGGGTATAGGCTGAGCCCCCTCCGCCCGCCCGAACAAAGCGGCCCTTGCGACGGCGACCGTGCCTTGGCCTTTGCGTCTTGCGCTGTGGGGGGATTCCTGGGCGACCAAGGGAAGCACGTCGCCGTCCAGTCTACAGCGCCTAGGCCAACACGCGACCTGAGCTTCGCACGCTTCGCCCGGCGCCTCGTGCAACTCTAGAAGTGTGCGACAGACGCACAGTTGGGCGTTTGAGCATGTTTGGAATCCCGATGCTCAGGCTCTCAAGCCTCGCTCCCCCTGCGAACCAGAGATCGGTCCCGAGGGTCCAAACGACACCCTTGGGGTACCAAGGGTGCATTCAGGTGCCAACTGGTAGTTCTTAGGCTAGTGAGTTGGAAGGGGGCGATGGGCGGGCATTTCTTTGAAGACATGGCCCTCGCAAAGCCATGGCAGGCGAGCAGTTGGACCTAAAAACACATCCAAAGGCTGCAAAGGCTCAAAGGATCTCAAAGGTCACAGTCCGCTCCGGTCGCACCAACAAGATCTTTGCTGCTCGCCACCTTGCATGCCCCAAGCATCCTGGCACCCCTGGCAAGATGACAAGCCTGTGAGGTCGTGCGATGCTGTGCCGCCTTGAAATCAGCGTTGGGTAACGCTCTGGTGCTGCTTCAAGGAGCTCCTGGCGTTGTGTCCTCAATTTCCTTAATCCGTTGGCAACTGGAGCTGATGCACCCGGCTCGTTCAAGCACGGGGCGCAAGTGACTGCCTGCGCCCAGGACATCCCAAAGTCCCAAGGTTTCCAGGTTTCCTTTGTGGTTGCAGGGCCAGACTTGCAAGCCCCTCTTGAACCTGTGGCTCTTGGCACGCCCGGGCCTTGTCAGATTTCGCGTGTTTTGAGAGCGTGCCGGTCGTTGCTGGCCTTCACAGCTGTTTTCCACAGCCTCCTCGGCGCAGCAGGCCCAAGCGTCCCGGGGCTCCTGAGTTTGCGGCGGATGTGACGGTCTCACGCAGGGGAGGCGAGAACGCACGCGCGACCGCACATGCCGGAGCCAGTGGCCAATGGCCCGTTCGCCGGCGTCTTTCGCTTTGAAAAGTCCTGGCCCATCTATGTTGCTGATTCGTCGGGGCAAGCAAGGCCAGGCTGTTTTGGCGGTCTGGACGTCCAGCACCGCAGAAAGTCGAGCCGTAGCTTAGCAGCTATAGCCACTGGTGTGCCATAGCTCACGGTCTTGCAGCGGACGGACGATGATGGAATCCTCAGCCCAAGCTCCATTCTGCAGAGACGTGTTTTCCGACCATTTGCCCCTCCGGTTCGAGGCCAGACTTTGAGATCAAAGCTTCGCATAAAGCCCAAAACTTCCTTGACTCGGGTGACCGGCCCCCCGAACTCCTTTCCAAGCAGTGCAGCATCCGTGTTGCTTCTTGTTGCTTGGATCTTGAGAGAAGTTAGTACCCATGGTGACACGTGAGGGCCAAGATGCCGCAGCACTGGCCGTTCCGAGGCCGGCGGTGGCCCTTGGCCCTTGCTGCCTTTGTTTTTGCCAAATCTTCCACTGAGGTCTAGGGCACTCCTGCATTTTGAACGCTACGCATTCCCTTAGAGTTCCCACAGAGGTGCCACAGAGGTGCCTTCGAGCCCCCTTGAAAACCGAGCGTCGCCCCTTCCGCTGCATCCTCCAGATCCTCGTCAGGCTGCTGGAGAGCTATGCTGAGTCCCTAGAAAGAAGCCTTTGAAGAAGGGGAGCGCTTCCCTGCCTGTTTCAGACTTTTGCCTCCCCCCCCTCCCAAAAGCACCCTGTGCAAAAAGCCCTTCCAAGTAAGAGCCTCCTGTGTAAAAGTTTCAAACTCTAGAGGGTTTAGGGAGCTGCAAGACCAAGCACAGCTAGAAGGCTTCGAGCCGTGGCTGCCGTGGCTGCTGAGGCTGCTCTATGAGCTCTTCAGAGGTGCTCATTTTAGGGTTTAGGGTTTAGGGATAAGGTAGGGCTCCGAGTTAAATTCGGGCTTCGCCCAGTGTGATTCTCGAAGCACTGAGAAGCCATCCATGCCGGCCGATCCGAGGCAGAGCTACAGTCGCTCCGAGTGAAGCTCCCTGAAAGAACAGAGCCGTCTCACACGTGTGTCCTCTTGAAAAGTTGATTCCACGCATGCCGCGGGCACCTCAGCCCAGCTGTGACTCGTGTTGATGTTCCACGGTGCCTGCTGTCGGAGTCAGAGGGGTGGAATGGACCAGGGCTTTGGCTCGAGAATCTTGGAATGAGCGCTTATGACTGATGACTACCAAGAATAAGTCCCGTTTCAATGATCTTGGCCCGGACGAGTGCAGGATCTGGGGGAGAACGTCTCGTTTCCCGAACAAGTTCTGAGACAGCTCCTGCTCGGGACTACCGAGAGGTAGATTTTGGTCTCTCTCCGGAGCCCGTGCTCCTCCATCTCCTGGTCGTCCTCCTGCTCCGCCCCCTCTTTCAGGCTTCCTCAATCGGGCTTCAGGGAGGTTTGGTGCTCCATTTTGCCCTAAACCCTAAAGCCATTTGGGCAGAAAGTCGCCTGCTTGGGATCCTTGGGGCCCCCAAGCAGGGAATTCAATGCGCAGGGAGTTGGGTTTCCCGAGTTGCTCTCCAACTCAGCGGCTCCACCCCTCTTTAGAAATAAGGCACTTGTAAGGATCTTGGGGGGGGGACTTAGGGTAAGAGGACTCTGCTTTGCTCAGCCTCCAATGTTGCCAGAGTCTCCCGTCAATTTGGGAGCTTCGCGTTTGGGAGCTTCGCTTGTGGAGCTTCGCTCTTGGAGCAATCTCGACAACAAAACCTCTCGAGGTTCGCCTCAGGGCAAAGCGGCTTCAAGCCGCTTCTGGCCGCCTGCGAGTCACTTGCCGGGTCCAACTCCATTCCTCTGTGACCTTTGCGACGTCAAAGCCAATTTGAGAGGCGCAGAGGTTTTCGCAGAGCGCTTCAAATGCGCGTGCTGCCAGGTGGGCGACACGGCTTTGTGCTCGCCTGCCCAATGAAGAACTGCAAGCTGATGTAAGCTGATGTACCCAATTCCGAGACTCGAAAAGGGAAATCCGCTTGAGAGGAGGCCAAAGGTGGGCCAACGAAAGGTGTGCGGCCTTCCTTGTGCCAAGCTTGCACTTCAAGGATTTCCTCCGAAGCTCAAAAAAGCACTTGTCAACTTTCTGGGGCCTCCCAGGTCCGCAAAGAGTTTGGGGCCTCCCAGGTCGCCTGAAAAAGGAGCTAAGTTTCACGGCTGCGAAAGGAATCCCCTGGGAGTCCTATAGGGAAGTAGCAAGGACCAGCTCAGAAGATCGGCAAGCCCTCGACTGTTGAGACGTGGCTGGCCTCTGCCTTTGCTCGAGTTTTAAGGAACTTCTAGCGTCTCCCAATGGTAGGAAAGCTTTCTACAACCCTAAGACCCCAAACCCTCACCCCACAGCCACAGTCAGGAGCTCCAAAGCAGTTCCAAAGCCGGCTCTCTACCCAGCATCCCCTCCACATCCCCCCCACCCCCCCCCCCCCCAAAAAAAAAAACAAAAATAACTCAAGAACTCCTATAAAACCTCCTGCATCCTCGTACCCCCACCCCCAACCAACACCGAGGCAACATCCCCAAAGCAGCACCCCAACAAAAACCCTCCCAAAGCTCCGCCATGCCCATTGCCCCCCGATGCCTGGCATGGCTTGCGGCCCTGGCGGCTGTCACTGCAGCTGCCGGCGACCGAAGCAGCAAGTACTGCGTTGTAGGCCCGCCTTTCAAGTGGGCTGGTGAGGGGGGGGGGGGGCGGTGTTGCGCAGTGGGGTTTACGAAGATCATGGGGCCCCCTAGCATAGTCCCCCAAATAGTAGGATTCCCTAAGGACCCCAAGTAGGTGCCCCGAATTTCGGAAAACCCCTGAGGTTCGGGTGGGGTGTTGTTTCTCTCTTCTGGGTGCTTTCGGGCTCGAGGAGACTTTCAGGTTGCTGGCTTCAGCGTCATGGAGTCATGGGCTCAGATCTGGACCCTATGCACATGTGTGACGCAGGCACGTCTATAAGCATGGTCTTCTTGGAATGGACTGGGAACATCTCGGAACGTGCAGCAACAGCGTGAGAACGCCGAGGGGGCCTATTCTTACACCACCCCAAGCCTCCCTAAAACCTAAACCCGCAAGCCCTTGTGCAGGAGCGGGTCCGGCTGGCATCCAGATAGGGCCGCTGGGCAGTGTTTGGGGTGGGGCGGGGGGTGGGGGGGCAAAATCTATGAGGATCATACCCTTCAGGGTACTGATGGTTGGAGGGGAGGTTTTTTTTCGGAGGGGGGGGGGGGTTATTATGGGGGTTAGGGAGGCTTTGGCTGGTGAGGCCTTTGGAAGACCCCAAGCTGCCAAAACGAAATCCTTCGAATGACCTTGCAAAGCTTACCACACTTGAAGCCAAAACCCTAGCGGCGCCCCAAACAAACCCACCCGCACAACCTTGCACACGATTCGGCTCCTACCCATGTTTTCTGGGATCCTTATTTCTTTTTTTGGGGTTTAGGTTCCCTTCTAAACCCCTTTAAACCAAAAAGGGTGCCCGTTTTCTCTTCCTAGGTTTCTCCTGGGTCTAGGTTTTTCATTTGTTTGCAGGCACTTCTTGAAGAATGCCAGCCTGGACTACGTCACCTTCGAGCGCCAGCTCCAGGCTCCTTAGGGCCCCCAGTCGCACCCCGTTGCGGAGTGGGGGGGGTTCTCCGGCAGTTGGCCCTTGTGGCCCCTGAGGATAGCAACCCTCAGCTTGAAACCTGCAACTGGGTTTGGAGCTTACGGGGCACCCCTTACTATACCTTAGCTGCACACGCTTGGGTGCCTTGCAAGATCTGCTCATGTGCGGGTCGACCCTTGTACGGATCTCGAAGCCAGGGATTTAAAGCATGCCTCTGCATCCCAAAGAGGCGGCGGCATGGTTCCGGAAGTTCCCAATTCATCGGAAGCTGATCTCGATCAACCGCCGGAACACGCGGTCCACGAATGTGGAGCCACCCGGCAGCAGAGACATAAAGGGTTTAGGATTTAGGGTTTAGGGCTTAAGGTTTATCCCAGGGGAATCCCAACCCCAAAGTTTTCGCGCCAGTTCTTGGGAGAAGCTGGAACCCCTGACTGACCTGAGAATTCCCTTTTGGGCTTTTGTCATCCTTTCACAACACGGAACCTTAACTATAAGTTTTGAGAATCCCCCCCCCCCCCCCCCCATCTTCCGAAGTACTTTAGCGCTGCGATTCCATACAACCTCTACCTAAACCCTAACCTCTGCACCCCAAATGTCGAACCCTTAACCCCAGAGTCACTGCCAAGCCGCTATGTCTGTGAGCACTTTCGTGCTGCGTTACTGCCGCCAGATTTGTTGCAATGCGAAATCAACAACCGCAGATGCGACAACACCAATCACTACTTCGACGTTGGAAAGATGTTAAGTGCCGTTTTTGCCAGGCTCGGTACTGTCTACGTAAAATCTGAGAAGTTCTTGCGAAGATGCTGCAGCCCCTCGTAGCTGTCTCAGCAAGAGACGAGCACGTGGTTGGGAGTGATAGAAGGGTACTGTGCCAAGCTCATCTCTAAAGGAGAGATGCCCCCCCAAACCCAACCCCCCAAACCCAACCCCCCAAACCCAACCCCCCAAACCCAACCCCCCAAACCCAACCCCCCAAACCCAACCCCCCAAACCCAACCCCCCAAACCCAACCCCCCAAACCCAACCCCCCAAACCCAACCCCCCAAACCCAACCCCCCAAACCCAACCCCCCAAACCCCCCCCCCAAACCCCCAAACCCAACCCCCCAAACCCAACCCCCCAAACCCAAACCCCCCCCAACCCCCAAACCCAACCCCCCAACCCCCAAACCCAAACCCAACCCCCCCCCCCCCAACCAACCCCCCAAACCCAACCCCCCAAAACCAACCCCCCAAACCCAACCCCCCAAACCCAACCCCAAACCAAACCCCCAAACCCAACCCCCCCCCCAAACCCAACCCCCCACCAAACCCAACCCCCCAAACCCAACCCCCCAACCCAACCCCCCAAAACCAAACCCCCAAACCCAAACCCCCCAACCCCCCAAAACCCCAAAACCCCCAACCCCCCAACCCCCCAACCCCCCAACCCCCCAACCCTCGGGGACCGAATGAGGTTCAACCTCCGGCATGACTGGAACAGCCTCCTCGACGTGCCCATCGTGCCCTTCACCAACTGGACCTGCGCCAGGGTTTAGGGTTTAGGGTTTAGGGTTTAGGGTTTAGGGTTTAGGATTTAGGGTTTAGAGTTTAGATTGGGTTGAGGGTTGAGGGTTTAAGGTTCAGGGTTCGGGGCTTACACGGTTGAGTTGGGTTCCTCTTGGAAGCTACTCCCTCCAACTCCCCCTCCCCTCTGCCCTCCCATGTTGTGTTCAAGAGGTATCAGCCAGTTGACATAGTCCTACCTGCAGCCCATCAATAGTGTGACCACAACCCCAAAAACCCCAAGGTACATGCATGTTTGTGGGGAGTTTGGCTGGATGAACCTTGCAACATGCCAATCTTTTGGGCAGCAGATTTTGGAGGACTGAGGATTATTTTCCTTCTGCCGATGTCCTGGCGGACTACCTCCAGGCAAGCAGCCCCGGTCGAAAACCGACATTTGCTCAGCTAGGGCCTGCTTAGGGAGAGGAGCAGCATCTTTTTTGGACTCACAGACTCGCGCAGAGTGCCAGATATTACATCCGATTCCAACCTGAAAAAAAGAGCTCCGGGTGCTTGTGAGAATTTTGTAGCGCAAAGGTGCCGAGGTTTTCGTTGCCCAGAGCCCTGAAGTGGAGAAGTTTTGGGGTTCAGGGTTTAGGGTTGAGGGTCGGGGGACTGGCCCAAAGCTCCAACATGCTCCAAGTCCCAAGCCTGAAGCCCTGCTTCTGATAGTGTAGGGTTTAGGGTTTGGGGTTTGGGGTTTCGGGTCTGATAAATGGGAGTTTAGGGTTTGGGTTTGGGGCTCCTAGTTCCCCCCAGGCCGCCGCAGATCTGCAGGGCGAATCGATCCTGAAGCTTGGGCGCGCAGTGGTCGACCCATGAGTTGAGGGTTATTGGGGTGAAGGGTTTAGGGTCTAGGGTCTAGAGTCTAGGTCTAGGGTTGAGGGGTTTAGGGGTTTAGGGGTTTAGGGTTTAGGGTTTAGGGTTTAGACTGTAGGGTGTAGGGGTTAGGGTTTAGGGTTAACCTTACCTAGCCCCTTAAGTGAAAACCCGGACCTACCTCGAGGGCTCCAAACCTTGGCTTCTGGAGGTTGCTTGAGGAAGTTCGATGTAAGGGCTTTGAAAAACTACGTGCCTTGAAAAGGCTATGCGCTCTTCAAGGCAATGCCAATCTAGGGGGAATCCCCTGCCAGTGTTCAGGGTAAGAGGTTGCTATGGGGCTCATCAGGGCAGGAGATCTCAAGGAGGGCAGGTCTTGAGATCAAAGGATGTTCAGAAAAGTTGCCCCAAGAGCCTGAACCCTCAACTTTCCTAAGCCCTAAACCCTAGACCCAGCGCAAGGTACAACCATTCCGTCCGCAGAATCCGACGGTCCGGTGCGGCACCTCGGGCGCAGACACCAAGCCCTATGAGCCTTCACTTTACAGGGCTCTCTATAGAACAGTTTCTATAGAAAGGGTTCGAGAGAGAAGGTTCTATAGAAAGGGTTTTACATAGAAAGGGGTCTAAAGAGAGGGTTCGAGGTTGATGAAAGGTACCTGACGCTCCTTTTTTCAACCAGCGAGGTTTTTCCAGAGACTCCTCTGCGGAATTTCCTTTAGCGACCCTAGTGCACCGCTGGTTATGATCATGTCCCTTCGCGCGCAGAACGCTGAGTTCAGTGAATTTGTCCTTTTTGTCAGCCGATTGGTCAAAAAGCTATGCAACCACGTTGTGTTCATGAAGCCTGTTCAGCTCGCCGAATCGGAGGTAAGAGGTACCTCGGCCAATTCTCGAGCTTGGGTTTCTCGTTGCAGAATCTGTCGAGTCGCCGTGCCCCTCCCGAGAGAAGGGGAGAGGTGGGAGAGAGAGCGAGGGAGCAGGAACCACGAAGGCCCCTTTGAATGCCAAGCAGCCAGAGTGGTTGCCAGGTAATGTTATGCCGTCTTGTGCTTCGAATTGCAGCTGAGGAGGGCCGCTCCGGTGGGTTCGAGGCGACCTGGGCACACGACAAGTCGTTCTGCTCAGACCCCGCACCTCCCAAAATACCCGAAGAAGGGAGCACAGGCCGCGAAACTTCCCCAGGTGGCTGTGCAAGCGCCGTCCGGCATCCTTAGCTGGAGATGCACCCCGGCCGAATGACAGGGGGTTCAGGGCCCTATAGGGGTTGGGCACAAGGTTCAGATGGGTTCAGGATGCAGTTAGCGCAGCTACAAACCAAGGCAAGCGTCGTGTAATTAGAATGATGGCATCGTTGCCATCGAATGGGGGATCGACTCTCGCTCTCGCTCTCCCTCTCCCTCTCGCTCTCGCTCTCGCTCTCGCTCTCGCTCTCGCTCTCGCTCTCGCTCTTGCTCTCTCTCTCTCTCTCTCTCGCTCTCTCCCTCTCTCTCTCTGTCTCTCTCCGTGTCTCTCTCTCTCTCTCTCTCTCTCCCTCCCTCCCTCTCTCTCAGTCAAGCCTGGAGAGCCAGCAACCACACAGGCTACACAATTACACTCTGCTCCTGGACACAGCCCAGGCACTGTGGTCATCGGAGCCGTCGGCCTCTGGCAGGCAAAGCACCGTTGCCCACCCCCACTGATGGTCACCCAATGCGCCTCCTTCGTTCACACTGTCCAGGATGTTTGGGCTAAGTTCTTGACGTCGTCCAGCAAGACGTCAGAAGACCGTGCAATTTTTCGTTTAGGGGCCCTAAAGCCCGAAACCCTAAGATGCCCTCCGGCCTGGGAAGCCCTAAACGCAGCCTCAGCTTCGTGCTGTCAGTCAGAGTTCCGCTTCTTGGATCTCCAGGCGCATGTGCCCAAAAACTGGATACGCGGCATGGAGCACACCGTCGGCTACGAGGACCAGTATCCCCACTCCCTATAAACCCTAAACACTAGACCCTAAGCCCTAAGCCCTCAGCCCGAAACCCCAAACCCCAAACCCTAAATCCCAAACCCTGAACCGTAACACCCTCTGAAGACCCTGTACGCAGGAGTTAGCTCCCTGGCCCGGCGCCAGAGCCTTCGACGGGCTTTCGGTCCTCATCCTTGGCAACGGTGCCTCCGCGAGAACTCTTTGGGTTCAGGGTTTCGGGTTTAGCATTTGGGGTTTAGGGTTTAGGGTTTGAAGTTTGGAGCTGCAAATTAATTAAATTAGCTGCTGATGCCTACTTTGTGCGAAATCGGGGATAGCCGTTTTGGGGGGAAAGTCTGCTTTCATTCTAGATTCTTCCAGAGCCGTAGGGAAGACCCCTAACACCCTTAACCCCCGAAACCTCAAAGGTTTCAAAGCCCTTCAACCCCAACACCCGAAACCCTCCCAGCCCCTCGAGGCCCAAACGCTTAATGGCCCCAGAAGCCCGTAAAGCCCCAAACCTTAAACCTAACCACCTGGGGGGTCTATATTTCCATTTCTAGATCCCGGGGGTCCGGGGCCTCCGAATTCTTCGGAGGACCCTCCCCCACGCAAGCGTGAACCCACATTTGCCCAAGGGAACGGCGCCTTCGAAACCAGCGATGCCGTGCGAAACTTCGCCGTGGCTTTGCAGAGGAATGCCTGGAAGCCCCTGACCAAAGTCCCCCCTCGGTCCGAGTTCTGGAGCCGTTTGGGTCTATGGGTTTGGGGTTGAGGGTCCTATCGTCACTATCGTCCCTTTCCTGCTCCCCCAGTGCCATGCAGATTGTAATCCCCTTCTCGGGTGCTCCAGCTTTAATATGCCACTACGGAGGGTGCCGCCGAAAAAGGGGTAAATATCTGTTTCTCTGCCTGTTTCCTGACACCCTAAACCCTAAACCTTACGCCCTAAACCCTCTAAACCCTCTAAACCCTCTAAACCCTCTAAACCCTCTAAGCCCTCTAAGCCCTCTAAGCCCTCTAAACCCTCTAAACCCTCTAAACCCTCTAAACCCTCTAAACCCTCTAAACCCTCTAAACCCTCTAAACCCTCTAAGCCCTCTAAACCCTCTAAACCCCAAACCCCAAAATGGGAGCCTCAGGCGGACATCGGAATCCTCGGGCGTCGGGAGGCTGGGGGTGAAAATCCCTGACCCTGCTAAATCCTCTTCTCCCCCCCCCCCCTCAAAAAAGGGTTTAGAGTTTAGGGATATAGGGTATGCTTCATAACGTGTTGCATCAGGGCTTTGCTTTTGTTCGCACCTTCAAGAGGCGACAGCATCCAGGCCAGAAACCCGATAAAACCTACAAGCCCTATAACCTCTCGCAACCCTCCAAACCCCTTGAAACCCTATAAACCCCTACAAACCCTGTAAACCCTATAAACCCTAAAAAGTCTACACCACCGAGCACCGACCGTGAACCTGAACTCCGAAGGAGCGCTTCGCCCACGAGACGAACTACGTGGGCGACGTGCGCGCGGCGCGGCTGACGTCCGTGGACTCACTTCAGCTGAGCCCCAGTCATGATCATTCGGGTTTAGGGTGTAGGGTTGAGGGTTTAGGATTATGTTATGGTCATTCTTGTGATGATTGTTCTGATTGTTGTTGGTGGTATGGCTACCGCCATGAGGATTTGTAATTGTGACTATGCTTCTGGTCAAGTCAAGGATCCGGGGCCGCAGGTAGACTCAGTACTTAGGGTGAACTCAGAAATTTGATGGATGCTACAGCAACCCGTGTTTAGAGTTCAGGATCTTCGGGCACCCAGCCTAACACTTTCCATCCAAGTCAGATAGGTCATGCATACCGTGTATGCAGGACGGTGAAGTGCAGCACTTCAGAAAGCGAGCGTAGCGCTGTTGCAGCGAGCTAGGCGAGGCCGCTGTGGCAGATTCGGATGTCAGACTTCTACACCCTGCTTGTGACCAAGGAAGTCTCTAGACGACGTGTTTGCACTGGCGCCGAACTCAGGCCCTTCCCAGGGTTGCGCAGTCTTCAAAGTGCAGATCACCTTAATACGTTTCAGACGTACGAGTAGTATCAATAATAGCAATAGCAGCGCGCATGGCAACAAAGAAGAATACGTACTGCATGTTGCAAGCAAGGAGTAGTAAAGTTGATATGAATCGAGGAATCCCCAAGCGCTCCCTCCCTTTGGAGGTGCGCTCATTGAGTTTCTTCCTTGCGCTGGCGCCGGACCAGGTGCCAGCTTCTCCCGTGGCGTGCTTTCTTGGCTTGAGGGCTGTCACATTCGACACCCCTGGAAACCTCGTGAAGACCCCTGCACCCTGAGCCCAAAACCCCCAAACCCTACAAGGGTTACGCCTATTTCAGGACTCGCATCTAGGGTGTCGGCTTTAGGGTTATAGAAGGGTTTGGGGCTCGGTCTTACCTTAGACCGTATCGGCACCAGTTCAGCAGACACCCCGGGAGGCACTGGCCAGGCTGGGAACGGCTGGCCAGCATCTAGGCTGACGTGGGGGCGCTCTGGGGGATTTTGGAAAGGATGATTGGTTTGAGGCTTAGTACACAGGCTTCTGGGGCTTAAAGTTAGTGTCCTACTGCACCCAGCTGATTACATCCCTTCCTGCTGGGCGTGAGTCGCAAGGTTGGGAAGAGATTGCTCAACCTTCTCCACGTGAGAGGGCCTTCTCTTGGACCTTTGCAGAATTGAATCCCAGTAAGAAGTGACAGCACCTCTTTGGAGGGGCTCCTTAGATGTCCCAAACTTCCGAAACTTCCTAAACCCTCCCTCCCCATGCCGAGGAGAAGGCCTTCGACACAGAGCTGCGAGGGTTTCAGGGCCGCCCGCCCGTCTGCGCGCTGCCAGACCACGGCCCGAAGGAGTTCCTGCGGCTCGGAGAAGCCGCAGGGCTTTGCCCTAAACCCTAAACCCTAAACCCTAGCCCTAAACCCTAAACCCTAAACCCTAAACCCTAAACCCTAAACCCTAAACCCTAAACCCTAAACCCTAAACCCTAAACCCTAAACCCTAAACAAGCTGCAAGTTTAAGGCTCTCGCATGGCACGATTCTTGCCTAGGTATGATGGTCAATGGTCAATGTTAAAGCACAAGTTGTTCATTCCTTGGGCTCTGGCTGGTTGAAGAAGAGTCGGCTACACGACATGCAGCCTGAACCCCAAGGCCCTATGCTCCACAGCCGTTTAAGGGCTGGTCGTAGGAGCTTGAGCCGATTTCCTTTGCAGTCAGGAATCTGTTCTTCAGACTCGAGCCCCCCCCCCGCTCCCAGGCTCCCCGAAAGCTACTCGAATCTCTCAGAAACGCTGAAAGCGACTGCTTGGAGGTTGGCCGATCATGATACGGAAGCCCGGCTGCACTGGAACGCTGGGTTCTAGAAGCGAGGAGAGGAGACTGATGCGACCATTTGGTTTAGGGTTTAGGCTTTGGGGAACCGTGTGCAGCAGGATCTCATGACGCGTCCGCCTCAGGAGAACCCAGCAGTGCAAGATGCAATGAGCAAGTGGGCGGAGCATGTTCATCTTCGTCACTTGGTTGCAGGTGTGCCCCTTTGTCAGCCTACTGTGGTGGATGTCCAATGAATGCTGGCAATCTCGGAGGAAGTTTGGGTGAAGAAGGAAGCAGAACTCCAATAGAGCGAAACCCCAAGGGCTTCAAAAAGCAACCCGTTGCCTCTCAAGGACCTGGGGTAGGGCAGCGTCGGTAAGACTCGTAAGAAGAACTACAGGGGTCTACAGTGTCTGGCATTTGGAGATCTCGAGGATCTGCAGCTTTTGTGGCATGGTTGGAGGATTTGACTAAAGGTGAGTAGTATTGGGATTTGAATTCTGATTCAAACGTTATTCCTGTCATTTATCATTAGAGCACGATTCCGGCACAGTTCTTTCCACCTTCAATCACCGCAACACTTCAGAAACGGGGTGCACAAGGCAGTTGAAGCGGCTGCCTGCTCTGGCAGCTCCACAGTTGCCCAATGTTGTGCTCATAGCTGTGCCAAAAGCATGTAAGAACCTCCACAGCAGGTAACTACAGCAAGGCCTTCAAGTTTCAATTCAAGAAGGCGCGTTGTCGGATGAAAGCAGCCAGCAGTCAAAGCCTATCTGTTTTAGGGCTTGGGGTTTGTAATTCAGAGAGAGCAAACGCGAGCATGCATGGACAGATGTGCGCAGATTAAAACCCGATCCAGCTCCAATCATGTTCAAGAGAGGCGCTGAAGGAGCTCGGCAAGCAGGTGGGAGATTGCCTAAACAACGTGGAAGGACTTACAAAGCAGAAGGGTTTGGGCGTGCAGGGTAGACGCCGCTACATACAGTTGTTCCTGCTTCCGGCTGGCCGCAAGGCTAAAGCTCGCATCGTGAGGGAAATTCTCCCCCAAAAGCCGAAGATGCAGGCCAAGTACGCCGTGCCGGGCATCGAGGACGTGCTTGCTGGGCGCACTCAGGTGTGCCTTGGCGTGTACTCAAGCCGGCTTAGGCCCCAAATAAAGCCCTGCTCAGAGTGGGTTTAGGGTTTAGGCTGAGGTTGATTTGGAGAATCTAAGTTTCTTTGGGTTCTAATTCGCATGCAAGTCTTAGAAATTGCCAGGCCTACAAGGAATTTTTTGATGATTCCCCCCCCCCCCCCCCCACGGTAATCACCAAATCGTCATCGGACAAATGTGACAGTCGCCCCACCCCAAACCCCCAAACCTCAGAAAACTTGATGGGTGTGAGGGGGGCTAACGTCCGACCCCCTAAACAGCGATTACGTGATTAAACATGTTTGGCTGCTCGCTCTCCTCCTCCTTGTTCACTCCGTCGTTTCCGGTAGGAGCCGATTCCGGGGTACTTTTGCCCATCAGAAGCCACGCCTGCCCCCGAGCCCTGAGTTCAACGGAGGCTGACCATCAAGAAGTCCGTTGCGAGGAAGCTGGCCAAGGACGGGGCTTGAGTGGGTGTGCTTGACAACATACAGAGTCTCGGAAGATTTCGTTGCCGAGGAGCTGTCTCATCTCGCAACTCTGCCACATTGTTTAAAGTTGAAGGGCGCCCGAAGCGATCTCGAGCCAACACTCACTGCCCCCCTGGGGACCCCAACCCACCCTGCCGGCCTCGATGAACCTCGCAGGCCTTAAACTGTTCGGCATCGTAGGGTCTCTCCGAGGGGCTTACGGTCCTTGGTAGTTCAGAGAAAAGTTGTCGGCCGCCAGGGTTTAGAGGGCTCAGATTTTCTTCCCCATCGCGTCAAGAAGGCCTGAAGGGGGTCTTGTGGCGCAAGGCTTGAAGTGTAAAGGATCAGTACCGAGAAGCACCCCGCCGCCGGGGTCAGTTTGGAAGTGTTCGCATTGCACCTTGACTTCCTCGTTTGGCAGCAAGGTTTCCCTTAGGGCAAAGGTCTGAAGGCTGAATGGAAGCTCCTTCTTGGAACCCCCTCTCCGGCCTCATGGCACTTTCCTGTGGACCGGGGCAATTTGTGTCCACACAGAGGCGGCCGTCAGATTTCGCACATCTGGGGCAAGTCGTCAGTCTGCGATGAGTGTCAGGGAAAGCCTTTCGCCAAGGCAGTGGCTGTCTAGCAGTTGCTGCTTGATACTTGCTCGGAGGTTCCAGCGCCTCTTCTTCCCTCACGCTGCAAGTCGCAGATTGCGGCGGGTGTGCTGTTGGAACATGCCTCAACATATCGAGCTTCTGGTGGATGCGGACACGCATACGCAGAAAGAGATTGACATGGCCTTACAGACGCTGCAGTCAAAAAAGCAACCTGTGAAAGCAACTCTTTTTGCAGAACCTCAACGACGACCTTGCGTATTTCTTCCCAATAATCACTGGAGGTAGGACCAACAACAAGACTCGCAAGTTGGGAGGCATCATGGCATGGAGGGTTGCACACAGCGCCGGGCCCTTTATGCTGCGTGATTCGGGCTCTCTAACTTTCTGCGCCTTGCAGAAACTGCGGTATGTTGGCCAGAAACATGGCACTGACTTGTCGGAGGCCATGTTTGTCTTCGCCAACTGCAGCAACAACAAGAAACTTCTCCGACTGACAGGAAATCTGCCGACAGGAAATCTGGCTGAGTCAAGCTCCGGAGCGCTTTCCTTTCCAACTTGTCGAATGGCCATTGGCAGCCGCCCCCAAAAGATGTAGGAGTTCGGAAGATGCTCGTAACCAGGGCCTACCTCCAAACTGCTTCCGCTTCTCAAGCTGATGTGTTGGCAGCTATGCAGCGCTGCTCCAGCCATAAGTGGCTGCCACACATTGCATGAATACTTACTTGGGAAGTGTTGGCAGCTCATGAAAGAAATAACTTCAGATGATCCATCTCGTCGAGAAGTAGTGGGGGGCCGTTGAGACGAGCAAAAAGGTAAAGGAAGGAGCGTCTTTTCTGCGAAAGCATAGCGTGCGTCTGTCTTTTGCTCTACGCCTACTGAAGCATTTTTGGGATTGGCGTGAAAACGCCCTTCAGAGCTCTGCTTCGGCATCTACTTGTCCTAGAACTCAGTCAGCTTGTCTTGAGGGGGGCCCCATGAAGCGTGCTGAAAGGTTCAACTGAGCTTCCCCTATTTTGTTGGAACACAACCCCAAAGCTCTCCAAGGCTTACATGCCCGGGGTGCCCGGGGGACAGCGCTTAAACCCCCCTCCCCCCCGAACCCCAAATTGGCCCTACATCCTACTTCTGTGACAAAGCCCTGGAGTCCCCAAGTGCTGGTGCATCAAGATACCTGTTCCCAACATGGCCATTATGATGCTTTCCCTCCAAGCATCCTGGTACACTCGCAAAGCAGGATTCCCCCGCTGAGGGCGCTTACGCCGTGCTCTTAGGCTTTGACCCCGAAACCCCAAAACTCTCATAAACGCCAGCCATATACCCTTCCAAATTCTCGACGCGCCCCCTAACCCTAAACCCTAACCCCTCAACCCTAAACCCCAAACCCTAAACCCCAACATCCCCCCATGTTATACCCTCGGATCCAAAGAGTTGGGCAGTCCACAGGAGTCCGCCGAGTTCCGCGCGGCGCTGCCCGCGCTGATGGCCAGCACCCAGGGCCTCTACGTGGACCGGAATTGGGCTGAAGGGTTTAGGGTGTAGGGTTTAGGGTGTGGGGTTTAGGGTTTAGGGTTTAGGGGCACTTGGGGGGTTTGGGGGGGGGGGCAGTGGGGGTAAAAGTTCACGGATGGGTTGGTCAGGCGATTGTTTGCGGGGTAGAGGGGTGAGGAAGGGGTTTGATTCCTGAAGCTGTGAACCTGGCAGTGAGTTTCGGTGTTCAACATCCTGCCATGATTCATGGGAAGGGTTTTCAGAAAGCGGAAGGAGCCAACAACAATTGTGTTCCTGCCCAGCCCAAAAAACGTTCGCTGAGTCTTGGGGGCAAGGAGCATGACCGGCTCCGCAAGCCTTTCGACGTCGTCATCCGGGCCTTGGAATCCTGAAAGCAGGGAGAGTCGTCGGAATGAGCGCACTTAAGGGGGTGCATAGATTTGAGCGCTTTGTTGCCTGTCCGCCATGTTCCAGCATGCGCCATGCGTGATCGCCGGCAGCTTCAGCAACAAACGGTCTCGTAATGGGCACAGAGCAAAAGATTCGACTCTAGAGTATACTCGTCGATGGAGGGGGTGCCCAGAGATCCACCTTGCATGATGCGAATGCAGTTCAGCTGAAGAGAACCAGACAAAAGCTCAGGACCCTAAGCCCTCAACCCTAAGCCCCAAACCCTCAACCCGAGAGACCCTCAACCCTATCCTACCTGGGTTCGGAACACCCAGGGCTGGAGGATGGAGCCGGAGCCTTTCGAGGCCTTTGCCAATGCTATGTCGGTTGAAATTTGCGACTTCCGAGTTTGTGCTTAGGTTTGGGGCCTCAGGGCCTTGGGGTTTAGGGTTTAGGGTTCCGAGCCTTCGGGCTTAGGATTTGGATGGCTTAGGATGGTTTAGGGCCTCTTCGAAGCGCATCGAGGAAAAGGATTGAAAGGTAGGGAATCACTTTCTTGCAGTGGCTGTTTGACAACCAGCTTCCTTCCTCATTGGCAGTTGCGATTTGATCCGACTGTATCTGTTTTCGAGCGCCAGTTAGGAAGTATGATGCGCCCGCAGCAAAAGCACGATTTTTACTGGACAAAGCACGAGTTCTTGATCTGCTTCCTTATCCCGCGGCTCGAAGGAGCTCAACATGCAGTTGGACTCGGATGGGACTCTTGGCTGGAGATGTGGGCCCTGGCAGATAAACCGCTCCTTCTTCTGCAAGCCATGGTAAGGCCACGAAGCCACAGGGGTTGTTAAAGACGAAAGCTGCGCCTTCAAGCCTTTCGTGCGTTGTTTAGTTTTGGACCCTAGGGGTGGGAAGGGGTTCTTCCCCAAGGAAGTATCCAGAAGTGGATGCCTGCTTCGAGTCCACGGAGCCTGGCCTCTACTTTGCAGGCCAGGGATCGGTTTGAGACCAAGGTTTTTAGAGATCTTTAATTGTAGCCGAGTCTATGCATAGCTCTATTGGCTAAAGAATAGAAGTCGAAGCAGCCATAGTAACAGGAAGACCAAGAGTAGGCGAGAGAGCAAAAGGTTTAGCAACGGTGCATAGGAAATAGTAGCGGCGTCTAGTAGAGTAAAGGGCTTGAGGAGTCGGAGCAGTAAAAGTCATGGTAAAATGGGAAGTCATAGTCGGACCATAAAAGAATGGAAGGATGTGCATGGTAGCGCCATAGTAATATTCAACAGAATGCAAGAATAATTGCCCGACCGAAGAATTAGAAATAAGAATGGTAATACTATCAAGACCAAGAGTAGGATAGTAGACAGACTAACAAGAGCCACAATCAGATACGCATGCTAGTAATCGCGATAGTCATCACCACCATCACTGGACCATGACCATAATAAAAGATGATGAACTCATATTAACTGAATCATAGGGTTGTGTCGGATCCCTTCTCGTTTGTCCGCAAGTGCCCCTGGCATGCTTGCCTATGAGATCCGGCAGCCAGAGGGGTGCTTCTTGAAGCAATAGCGCCGTCGTTGTTCTCCATGTATGCGTGTATGTCGCGTAAGTGCAAGACTGGCGAGCACAGTCCCGAAACAGTGTCCGCTGTATGTAGTTCCAGGGCAGGGCTAGACCTGGATCTGCGCGTTTGAGAGAGCCCCACCGACATCTCCTGGCTGTTCAACTTGCACCTCTGAACCCTCAAGATCCCACATGGCCTGGGGTTTAGGGTCGAGGGTTCCGCGACCCTCACATGCGAGAGCTTTGGGCCGAGAGCGATGAGATCTTGAGGAACTGTTACGCACGGCTTCGACAAGAAGCGCTTTGGCAGTGCTGGTGGCTTCATCCACGGCTTCCGCTACACAGCGATCCCAGCAGCAGTTCAGGAGACTGCAGGATGGGTTTATGATTAGCAAGGGTCTTTCATGGGGTTCAGAGACGTTTAAAGTTCAGGGCTTTTTCATGAGGATAAAAGGCCACAGAGCCCGTCCTTCCCGTCTGAATCTGAATCGAGGGTTGCAGGATGGTAGACCCTAAGCTCCTTTCGCGCGAACCCTGGGGAAAATATAGGTTCCTTGCCAAAGGAATTTGCAAAACGGGAGCCGACCTTTTTTGAGCCTGAGCCCTCCACAGTTGAGGCCAAGACGCTCTTCCGCTGCCTGATGCACCGGTTTGAGGAGAGGCCGGGCGGGGCAGGGATCCCTCTTCCATCCTTGGGGGAATTTCCGGCTACTGGGGGGTAGGTCAGGGGGTTCGATTGTACTTGGGGGACGGACGGGGTACCCCTAGTTGGGGAAATAACCTGCCCACATTTAATGAATGCTTGGTCCTCCAGGTTTAGGGTGCTTGCTTGGGGGTTGGGGGAGTTTAGCTGAAGCAGAGTTTTAAGGATGCATGCCAAGAAGCTCAAGAACGAGTCCCGCAAAAGGAAGACCGAAGAACAAAACATTTCAACCCAAACATTCCAAAGCCAGGGCCTTCTGGCACGACAGCCATCAGAGCTTCGACTGGCGCAGCCCGGGCGGTACCGACGGGAGTTGCGAGGCCTCGAGACATCTGCTTCTTCGCCTTGGCGCTTTTGCGGGGATACAAGGGGCTCCCACGCCAGACTCACAGCACCTGGCTCTTCTTCACAGCAAGCCCTGCAAAATGCTGTGGTGGGCACGTGTCAGCATCGGAATCACAGCTGCCCCAGGGGTCTCTGCTGCATCCTTAACATCCCCTTAAACCCCCATAAAGGAAATAATAAAAGCAAAGGAAGCAAAAACTGAAAGAGAGGTCGGCGCGGAGCCGGAGACCAAGAACATCCAGCGCCTGCGGAGGTGCTTCAAGGGTTTTGACTAGACTAGAGTGAAAACTCTGTGTAAGTACATGCATACATATGTACTGTGTCTTATCTATGACGCTGGGTGCTTGGGAGACGTTGGGGTCCGGGTTCACTTGGCTCCAGCGGGACGAAACTGCGTCAACATTGCAGAAGCCTCAAAACTGAAGAGCCCTTCGCCTTCCGATCCCTTTTCCCCCAAAAAAAGCAACCATCCCTGAAAGAGGATCTTGGAGACGACCCCGCACTGGAATCGACTCCTCACGCGCCTCAATGAAGCCTCGGGGCCCTACCAGATGTCCTGCGGGGCCCTGGCTGCTTGGGCGCTCAAGGTCGAGAGAGGGGTTGAGTCGAAGAGTTTGAGCGTGGCCCGCATGAAACAATCTTGCTGCTGGTGCCCTGGCAATGGCCCCTCACAAACCGGCTTTGTTGCCTAAGCCGGGTAAGCCGGCTGAGCCCTCGAAGTGCAGATTACACTTGCACATGGATGTGCCGGCGCCCAGGTGGACGGCTTGGTGTACGATCGGCAGCAGCTTCGAGTCGCGCACCTCATCTGAAGCCAGTGTCCTTAGGGTTTCTCCTTCGGGGGGACTGAGCCTGATCACTGTGATAAGGCATCCTGAAAGCTGCAACGCCCACACGTGTCGAGGTATTACCAGGACATCCCCATCGATCTTCTCGATGCACCTGGGATGTGGGAAAATCGTGGGAAAATGAAAGCATATGAAAACCACTGAAGACACAGGGCATTCACGTGGTGTGGACGTGGCATGCATGTCGGCCTTGGTTGAGGGATCAGTCCTTGGGGCCTTAGAGCCTGAGGGCTGAGACTGTTCAGGCTGAGTTCCAGCAGTTTCCGCGCGTGTACTTCCAGTTCCGCTACGGCAAGAGCACCTACCTCCAACGCTCAGGCCTAGCTGCTGACTTTCCGTGACAGATAAGCCTTCTTTCAGGATATTTGCAACTGCTAGCTGCTAGCTGTCAACCCAGGTCCCGCCCCGGCCCCCCAGCGCGTAAACAGATCCGCATGCGACCATGAAGCTGAAGGCTTCGGGGGCAGAAGGCTGCAGCCGAAGCCCTTCTAAATCCCAAATCTACCATGGAGCATCATGGAGCCCTTCAGTGGCTGTCGAAATCTGTCGAATGCATGCCCTTGTCATATTGTTTTTCGACCATTTCCCGAAAACACTCCATGCAAGCCAGGCTGTACGGCCTTTTTTCAAACCCAGCAAGCAATGGTTCAGTGGTTCAGTAGTCCCCCCGTACTTGCCCGGCTGAAGGCGAGGTGGTAAGGAGTGCCCCCTGACTGTCGCAGACTTGCTCCGAACACGGCTGGTGGCGCACAAGTCGAGCTTCCTCCATCCAGTGCTATTCTATGTGACACTCGACTGTAAGCCCGCTTCTGCTTGGTGCTAGGTTGGAGCGTGAGTGGATTGTTTTTAGCAGAAGAGTAGAAATGTGTTGTGTTGTAGCATGGAATTCAGGGTTTTGGCAGGGCCGGTGCTGTTCGGGATTGGGAGAGGCAGGGGGGGGGGGTTCCCCCAAGCCAGGCCTGCACTTCGCACCTGACACATGCCAAGCAAGTCCCTGGAGTCCTCCCTCCGCAGCTAAAGACCCAAAGATCCCAGGATGCCGAACAAGAGCGCCGGGAATGCGAAGCACTCCTCGCGCTTGCATCTCGTGGAGGCTTCGGTTTCCTCCTGGGCCCCACAGTTGTCAATGCATTCGCATAGGGTCCAGGGCCACGTCGCAACCCCCCTAAACTCTCAAGCAGGAACATTTTTCGGTGGCTCCAGCCTTCGGGTTCCCTGGCGTGTTCTCTTCGAGTTCGCCAGGATCGCTGGACGGACTGGACCGGTCGCGAAGAGGTACGGCTGGGCGCTTGTTCAGGAGTTGGGGACAGGAGACTTGAGGAAGCTGAAGAGCTTCAGGCATCAGCTCTCATGGGTTGGTTGGAGGAACCCGACCTGCGCAAACAAAAACTCTTCTGTTCAACGGAGTCTTCCGAGATCTCTCGGGCCTTGGGAATAGGGGCGGTTCCATTCTGACCCATGACCCAGCGCGAAAGTAAACCTGGACTTCGAGGCTGTCAAAGCCTCAGACCCACCTTGTTCAGTTGTCTAAACCCTAAACCCTAAACCCTAAACCCTAAACCCTAAACCCTAAACCCTAAACCCTAAACCCTAAACCCTAAACCCTAAACCCTAAACCCTAAACCCTAAAGCTCCTCTCAAAGGATGCGCCGAAGTCCCGCTCAGCCAGGTGTTGTCGATCCACTACTTCCTGACAGAAGTCGAGAAATCCATCTGGCAGGACTCGAAATCTCACGTTCCAAATAGCCTCTGAAGGATGTAACAAAAGTATGCAGTATGGGCCTTAGATGATTCGACAGGTGTGGCTTTCCGAGCACACAAGGGAATATTCTATTTGTTATTCTTATGAGGCATGGTTCCAAGAGGAGTGTAGGCTACAGACTCCTGTAGTTGGTCTACACCAGCTGCTTGAGGTAGGTTGCTGCTTCGTCTCAGCAGTGCTGCTCCAATCTTCGCAGACTTCGCCTTTTCCAGGGTTCGGAGAGAACCAACGCCATGAAAAAAGAAAGCAAGCCATCTTCCGAATCGATGTTTCATGCCTCTGGTTTGCATTCTAGCTGCAGAGATGTGGCGCCCAAGCAGATTCATGCTGTCAAACAGACTCCCAAGTGACATCGCCTTCACTGAGGAAGATTGGCCGACTAGCCACAAGCCCAAAACAAGCAAGAGACTTCTTCTATTATCACATGAGGTTGTCAGCTGGATTTACGTCACTCATGTTCGTGAGTGAGGTACACTCAGGTGCTGCTGTGCTGCCCGTGTCGTATCATGTTCGAGCACACTTCTGTCGGACACTGCGCCGAAAAGCAGTGCATTTGTGATCCAGGATGTGAAGCCACCCAAGTTCCACGAAGGCATCGTGGAATGAAGGGATGCAGTACGCTTTGCTAAGCGTCGTGTTCGAAAAAGCACCTGCACGCAAAGTACCCAAAAGGCAGACAGGACCGAGCAAATCATGCTTCAAGAGATCACACCTGCTTCCATTGCTTCGAGGCATCGACAACCTTAACCTCACTTGCAACCACTTCGACACAGAAGCGGATGAGGAGCAATAGAAGGCAGGGTGCTGATCCACCTATGTTGTGGGATCGAAGGTGCCAGGTGCCCAATTCCCTACTCCACTAAGGCGTCCTCCATGAGCGGAGCCAGAACAACTGGAGAAGTGGAGAAATGAAAGCAATCCAGGAGAAAGGCCCAAAAATGCCCAGGGTTTGTCGTGTTTTGTTGGCTTGGGGGTTTGCGAAATAGGGTCAGATACCCAGTTCCCGGCGGCTGGGCGTTCGGCGTTTAGGGTTGGCCAGTCCAGGGACTGGGACTCAGGGTTCAGGGTGGGTTTGTTCGCCACTGCCTCTTCTTCCATCGCGAAGGTGTCCCCACATGCGAACGGTTAATTGCAATGGTAACCCGAATTCGTGCGTTGTGCAAACAAAGTTATCTTAGGTGATCATGCAGACTAGTGCACTTCACTTTTCCCAGTACCAGATAGCGTGCCAGGGCATGTGTCTGTCAAGGGCCGGTTCACTCTCAAGGGCCCCTCGCTCCCTTGTCCAGCCCCATCACGCTTGCGCACGCCTTCTGCGAACGAGATGACCGGGCATGATCCAGCTGTGAAGAATGGCTCTGACTCGGAAGGCGAAGGCTTGCCACTGCAGCAGGAGAGAGCTCCTGCGTTGAAATTGGTAGTCCAGCTCTGCTGCATTGCTGCAATTGAAGGTGCAGACATGGGCTTCCCGGTGAGAAAGCTGTGGCAGTCTTTTTCCTCTTTCTGTTCAATCCTTCCTGACCAAAGGCACACATGCAATTGTCAAAAAAATGGTTTGGAAGACTTCAATCTTTCGAGCCTTCCTCGAGTTATAGGCTAAGAGGTTTAGGCAATGCAAAGAACGCGGGGGAACGACCCCCTGACAACAAGAAGCCAGGGTCAATCAGGTTTGCTTCCAGCCGTGACCTATGCCATGAGCCGGGACTTGCAGCTTCGCCTGACGCAGCTCTCGATCTTGAGTTTATCCCAGGCGGTCTGCGAAGCTTCAGCAGCACCCGTGTGGGGCATCTTAGCAGACAGACAGGCCTTGCAGCGCAAGAGCTTGCTGAGCTTGGGGGCATGCTGCCAGGGAATCTGCACCATACTGCTGTCGAATACCGACAGCTTCGAAAGAATGAGCCTGTTTCTTCAACTTGGAATGTTTGTGTTGGCACAATAAGAGCTCTTTGGAGGCAGTCTGGGGGTTGTGATGTCTAAGTAGCTTCTGCTGCCGGGCCGAGGATACTCCTGAGATGTATCAATGGCGCAATGCTGGCGAGCTTGAAGCCCTTGTGCCTGGGAATAGTGGCCGATACGACCCCTGAGTCCTCACGCGGCAAGATCTATGGCTATCTTCAGTTCTGCGTCACCCTCGGGGTCATGGCAGCAGCAAGCATAGCAACTCCGATGTCCAGCATTCAAGTGTTGGGACTTCAAGGCTGGCGCATGGCCTTCATTCTTTTCGGTTGCTTCGCCATACTCGCGGGCTTCGGGATCCATGTTTGCATGCCAGAAGTGAGCCGACCCTCACCAGCCCATGGAAAGCATGGCTGTGCACTCCTGGTGGAGCTACGAAAGCTGGGGAGTTTCTGCGCAAAGCCGACCTTCATATGCCTGGTTGCACAAGGCCTGTTTGGCTCAATCCCATGGAATGCTTTCACCTACTCGACTTTCTATTTTCAAGTCAATGGGCTGACCAACGTGGCGGCAGCTGCGCTCACCACCCTGTTCCAACTCTCCTGCGCCTTTGGGCACGTGATCGGGGGAGTCGTCGGGGACGCGATGGCCCGGCGCTGCCAGCTTCACGGCCGCCCCTTTACGGCAAACATCTCGGTCTCCTCCGGAATTCCGTGTGCGTTTTTGATTTACACCGCCCCACACCAGAGCTTTAGCTATTATGCAACGTTTTTGGTCATCATGGGCCTTGCTTCTACTTGGTGCGGTGTTGGGGTGAACTGGCCAATTCTATCTGAGATTGTGGATGCTGAGTCGCGAAGCGGAATCATGGCTTGGGAGAGCGCGTTAGAAGGGGCGGTTGCTGCCTGCTTGGGCAACGCCGCTGTTGGATTCCTCGCGCAAAACCTCTTTGGTTTCAACTTGGAAGATGCGAAGGCTGAAGGCGCCAGTGGAGAGCACAATGCTGAAGCCTTGGGCAAAGCATTGGCCTTGACCGTTGTCCTTCCATGGTCCATTTGCTTTGTGTTTTACATCTTCCTGCACTGGGCTTTCCCTTATGACCGCAAGCGCATGGAAGAGAGTCGTTCTTGCCGCAAGATACGCAGCCCAACTCCTTTGAAGCTAGGAGTTGCTGCAGAGACCGTGGAGTCTCCTTGACGTGTGGGGATTTCCGAAAAGAGGGGTACCCCTTAAAAATACCCCAAAATGCTATGTAATCCCTTGAAAGGAACCCCCCCAAGAAGGGGCAGCCCCTATTTTTGGAAACCGCCATTTGCCCCAAGAATAACGAAACAACCTCTTAATGTACAGGGCAGCGATCTGCCAAGCGTCTCCGAGCGCAGGCATGACGTCTGCATCTCAGATGAAGGTCCCTTGGTGATCTTTGGGTTCCTTCAAATAAAGTGCTTTAAGAGCTGCAAGCTTTCTTTGTGAAGCAAGCCCACCTACACGTAGAAACCTGGACACTGCGGGCAATCAAAAGGATGTTGGCAGTTCGATCTATGGACCCACGATTCTGACTTCGCTCAAGCACGGATTGTAGCTGTGGATGCTGCATGTCCAGAGGCGAGGGTGTGCTCATTACACACTTCTGGTGTCGGTATTCATCTCGCCTATATTCGGGTGAGCTTGAAGCTTGCCACGGGGGCCAGAAAGGAAGTCTTCCCTAAACCCCTAAACCCTCAACCCTTTATCATGGGCAAAGTTTCCTGGTTTAGAGTTGGGCGCTGGGAGGTGTCAACCAGGAGGTTCGAAATCCACTTGGGAGCTTCCGAAAGGTTTTGAACCCCCTACCATACCCATGTATGCAGTATGCCCTTTTTTGTATACTGTAATACTATATTGTGCTATATTATATTGTGCTGTATTTTTTTATACTATACGATATTATGCGATATTGTAATATATTATACTCGATGATACTCGATTATACTATATTATACTACATTATACTATATTATACGAAATTATACTATGTGAAGTCGACCAGCACTGGACTTGCACTAAGCCAATGCAATCACAGCCCGGTCACGCTGTTTTACGACTTCGCGAGTTCAAGCACTTGTGCAGCTACGCCTGAGTGCGTCCGGTCGGACCGCACAGCAACCTAAGAGCTACTGTACGACACTACCGTGCTCAAAGGCACAAGCTCGGTACTTGAGCCAAAAACATTGGCATTGTTACGAATTGCAAAACTACACATGCAAGGGAAAACAACAAGCTGCACTGGCACTAAGCAAGCACTCCATGCATGCTTTGACCTGCTCACATTCGCCCCTCAGCCGAGGCTTCCGGCTCACCAAGAGCTCATAGTGCGTCAAGCACTTCAGCAACGCGGCAAATGGGGTAGGGCGAGGGTGTCGCGTGCGACTCTGGTAGAGCCCGCACATCATGAGCATTGGCATGCGGCTTGGGCGGCAGCCCGCACTACCAAACGGACGCACGACGACAGCAGCCCTCTACGACCCTAAACCACCCCAAGTCGCGAGCGCTCACCTTTGTGCAGGCAGGCGAGGCTCCAGAGTACTGGGCAGGTCTTTATGCTGCTAGTGCAAAGCTATGGTACAAATGGTACACTGTACACACTACCGGCCCTAAGCTACGGCTACGGCTACTCACCTATCCAGAACTACCCTACGGGCTACCGGACTCAGCGAGAGCCGCGCACATTGCTTGTGCCGCAGGCAGTGCAGCTCGCACGCGCTTCGGCGAGCGCACTGCCGCGACCAGGACACGGTCCGCAGCAGCCGCAACGGGCTGGGAAGAAAAGTGCGGGTAGGCAAAATGGGCAGGGAAAACCCCTGCCGCGGCTCTTCGCCCGCAAGCAAAACACAACCAAAAGAGGCTCGACAGCGTGCCGCGCTGTGATGCCTGAGAAATCGCGTGGAAACCCCTTCCACGCCGCGCCGACTGGCCGCAGCCTACTCGATACCCTGTGGAGCAGTGTTGGGGGCACGAGTGGCGTTGCCAGCCACGTTGGAGCTACTGGCTCGCTCCAACTGAGGGCGCTTTGCAACCGCCTCATCGAGGGAGAATGCCTCTGCCGACACCCTCAGAAAATCCTCGATGTAGGACTGCGCGACCGGGTGCGTCTTGGGGACCTCCAGCCTAAGCCCTGCCTCCGCATTGGCCTTGCTGCTCGTGGTAAAATTGAGGCTCCCAATCAGCACCACCGCGCCATCAGGCCGCAGTAGGCAAAGGGCCTTGGCATGGTGAAGCCCTTGAATCCCAGTGCCTACCTTAGCCCCGCGGCCGTCGCGAGCATAGGCGTCGCGCACGGATGTGCCGCAACCCACCTTCACCTCGGCGCCTGCAGCCGCCAAGCGTTTCAACGCTTGCCACTGCAGCTTGGTGCGGTGGCATTGCCCCATGTCGGCGACAATCCGAACGCCTGCGCCCTTGCTAAGCGACGCTTCGATTGCCTCGATGCAGGATGGGCAATCTAAGCTGTACGCCCGGATGTAAACCACATCCTCTGCTGCTCCAGACCCAAGCAGCGTTTGGGCGGCCTGAACGTATGGCCCGCCCGCAAGGAATTCCACTTCTTTGACTGGAGAACTCCTAGCGGGAACTGGGCCCTTGTTCCTCCGGCTGGGTGTGCGCGCCACAGTGGCAGTGGTGGCACGTTGCACGGAGCCGGACTGTGCGTGGGCTGCGCTCGCTCCATCTGCCGGGGCCGCGGCCAGGTCACGACCCGCGAGCCCCTGAAAGCAGGAGAGCCCGCGGCTCTTGGCCGCAAGTTGGGAGAAACACCCCTCACTGTTCCCCAAACCCAACACCACCTTACCCTTAGCTAGGGCATCGGAGGCGGTACTCCGAATGGAGTCTGTGAGCGCAGGACCCGCGCCTCGCTGGGCCGCGTGCAAAAACCCTAGGGAACGAGCGGTGTCCATTGCGGCGTCGCAATGCCCGCAACGTCCCTCTGCCAGGTAAGCACGACAGCCACAGGCAGCTGTCTCCTCCTTGAGGTGCACCCAAACCTTATGGGTCACCCCTTTCTTGGTGCTCGCGACCTCAAACGTCGCTTCAGAGCCAAGGAGTTGAGACAGCCGCGCCACAGGGGCCGCGGTGTTGCCATGTCGCAGATGCGCAATGCGATTGGCAACGGCACGACTCACGTACCACAGAACAGCGCCGCACAAGATCACTACCACCAGAGTGATGGCTGTCCCGGCGACCCACACGGTCCGCCTCGCCCCGTGACCGATTTCCTCGACCACGTCGGCCGAAATCGTTGCAACCGCGTGCATCGAGTCCTCGACAACGTGCACAGCCCCGCGGTGCAGCTGCAAGGCAATCGGCGCCGACGCTGCGGCCGCCAGGCCCCACCAGCCGTTGATGTTCCCGTTGAGGGCATGCATCAACCGATTGAGGAGCCCGCGACCCAGGAAAAAGGGGGTCCGCGGCGGAAGCGGAACACTCGGCGGCGGCCGGGCCGACCCGCACGGGAAGGCTGGGACCCAGCTTGTGCTTGGGCGGGGCTGGAGCGCGGCAACTATGCCCGCGGCGTAAGCGCCCCAGGCGTACTTGCCCCTCCCCTTGGGCTTGCCCTTGGCATCGGACTTGCCTCTGCCCTTCGGCTTGCCCTGGCCCTTGCCACGGGCGTCTGCCCAAGCACTCCAAGGGTCGCGGCCCTTGCCGTAGGTCGCGTCTTCGCGACGTCGCTTACCACCCCTCTTCTTGTGTTTGTTTCTGAGAAGGGGTTGGATGGTTTCTTCGTCCATCGCACGATTCGCCAAAAGGATCTCGTGCTCCAGCTCGTCCTGGCTGCTTTCGGAGCCGGAGTTCCTTTCCTCGCCGCGCCGCGGATCAGGGATCCCGCGAGAGACGACCTCTGCCAAACGGAGAGGGGTGCTGCAGCGAAAGCACAACTGCCTGAATGAAAGGTTCCATTCATAGCAGTTAGGGCACTGCCACCCTGCAATGCGGAGCGCTTCGCTGATGTGATCATCGCGCTCCGCCTTCTCCGCCTGGCGCCGCTCTCGCTTCTTGGCGCGCTCGGCCGCCTGCGCCTCCTCGGCCGCCTGGAGGGCTTCAGCGAGTTCCTCATCGCTGAGAAGCCTCGCGGCATCTGCCCGCGCTTGTTGTTCTTCAAGCTCTTCGGCAGAAAACCTCCGCCTCCACTGCTCTGGCGCGGTTTGAGGGTCGACCTCCCACCACCCGATGTCGATCCCGTTGATCCATCGGCCGTCGCACGGGGCGCCCGCCTTCGGGCCGCCCGCGTGCGTGGTGAGGCACTGGTCCTCGGTGACCGGGTTAATGGCTTCGCAGAAGAAGCACCGCCAGCTGCCGTAGGGGTAAAAGCGGCCTTCGACGTAGGCTCGGTTGGCTGGGAGGGCGACCTCGTCCGCCTCATCCGCGGTGGCTGCCTCCATCTCAACCGAGACCTCCTCGTCCTTGACGACCTCAGCCTCCTCCTCCTGTTCCTCCTTGGCCAGGGGCTCTTCTCGCTCCCGGCCGACGTTGAGGTGGGACTCAGTGCGAACCTCGGCGCGCATCAAAATGACGTCAAGGCTATCCGCGGCTGGGTCGCCCGCGAAGAAGGAGTCGATCTCCTTGGCATGGAGATCGTCAAGAGGCGTCACCAGGTCCGGCGAGTAATCTCGCTTGGAGCGACGCTCGGCCAGGCGTCGCTGGACGTCGCTCTTCGGCGGCCCGAGGGCCCGCCCGCGCGGAGCGGCCTCCCGCGGAGGCTCGGGATCGGCCTCCTCCGTGGGCTCGCTCTTGGGCGTGGACCCTCCATCGCTTCCCTCTGGAGGGGGATCCAGCTCGGGGTCATCGCGAAGCCACCCCGGTGGATGGCTACCACCATAAATGTGGTGCGATCCATCCTCAAGCTGGATTCGGTCCCCTCGCTTCAGGAGCGGGACCCTCGAGTGATCGTACCCGTTGGCTTTGTGGTACCTAATCACTCGGAGCATGGGCACCTCCCCATACCCACCGTCCTTTCCTCGGTGGAACAGCCGTCCCCGCCAGTCCTGACGAAAAGGGTCAAGAGGTGCGGAGGGGCTGATCCCCAGGTTGGGCGGAAGGGAGGCGCCATGGCAGGCCGCCTGATGCAAGTGGTATTGCCCTAGCGACTCAAAAGCCAGCCCGCATCCAGGGGCGGAGCACCCATAGTGGCCGTCAGCATTGGGGCGAGGCACCTCTGGGGCCGG